TCATAGCTACCAGTTGGACAGACACTTAGCATATTAGCCTTTTATAAATAGACTAGAGACCTGGTGCATGAAAATCATGCACAGGGGGAAGAGGGTCCCCTCAGCTTAATTTGCACCCTCTTCAAACCAGGATCCCTCATGGGATGTCCCACAGTCGGACATCCCTCTCACAATCCAGGACCGCAGGCTCCTAACTGCTCACCTGCCTGCCTGCCTGCCTGATCACCCCCAAGTCCCCTCCCCCCCCCCCCCAGCCTGTTCTCCCCACTCAGCCTGCTGTTCAGTCATTTGGTCATTCCTTGCTAACTCCTCTGCCGGACTGTTTGCCCCACGCAGCCTGCTGTTCAGTCGTTTGGTCATCCCTCACTAACCCCCCTGCCAGCCTGATCTCCCCACACAGCCTGCTGTTTGGTCGTCGGTCCAGTTGTTTCAGTCATGACAGCCCCTGGCTTTTTATATATTAGGATAGACCAGTCACACCTGTTGTCCCACTGCTCTTTCTGGTCCCTTGGGATTCTGCATACAGCTAGCAGGGACTGAGGGAGGGCAACCACCAAACACCCTCAGGGCCCTTTCTAGATTCAGCCTCTTGGCCTTCTGACAGTGCAGCAATTTCCTGGGCTATGAGTTCTAGATTGAGAGGGCTGCCCCATGCCTTTCTATCCTTAGGCAGGTTATTCTCTCCTTCGGGAGAGGAGGGTGGTAGCAGACATACACACAAGCCTAGACTCCACCAAAGACTGGACTTCCGAAGGCAAGTGGCTCTTGGGTTAATTGTCTTTCTTCTGTTTCCCCCCTCTTTTACCATTTAGTCACTCATCTATAGAGGTAAGAAGCTGATCCAGGTGGTGTTTAAAGGATAAAAGGACCTATAGTTTCTTATAAAGTTAATGCATGTTTACTTCGTATTATTGTTGGTTTTATTTTACCAATGAGATTTTTTTTTTAAAGAGCAAAAATTATTTGTAAGTCTGTCATCCAAAAAATAATGACCATCATTTTTCTTTGTTTCACTCTAGTCTTCTTTCCTATAGATACGTATTTTTAACAATAAAGGGATCATAACATGTGTCCCATTTTGTAGCCCCTATGAATAATTCACACTTTCTGTGTCTTCAGAGTTCAGTGTGATTTGATTTTCAATGGTGGACTTGCTTTGCACTACTATACCATGACTGATTTATTTAACACCTACTCTTTCTAATATTGGATATTTGACATGTTTGTGGAGGATTTTTTTCTTACTAGTTCTAGGTTCACTGAATAATTTAGTTGAATTTTGAAGCATGAGCAGAAGAGGACCAGGAGGTTAGAAGGAGAGAAGTATGTTCCCGAAACAGGGAAGAAGAGAAAGTCACACACAGAAGCTTAAAAGAAACTGTGCCAACTTAACCATTTTGGCTCAATGGATAGAGCATCTGCCTGGGAACTGAAGGGTCCCGGATTCAATTCTGGGTCAGGGCACATGCCTGGGTTGTGGGCTTGATCCCCAGTAGGGGGTGGACAGGAGGCATCCAATCACTGATTCTCTCTCATTGCTGATTTTTCTATCTCTCTCTCTCCCTCTCCATTCCTGTCTGAACTCAATAAAGATATATATATATATATATATATATATATATATATATATATATATATATATATATATAGAGAGAGAGAGAGAGAGAGAGAGAGAGAGAGAGACTGTGCCTAGTGTGGGGAGCTGCAGGTGCTTCACAGGGCTGGACAAGTGCTAAGGTCAGGGGATAGGAGAAGGGACAAGGCCAGGGTGGGGGTGGGCAGATGTGCAGGAGGAGAATCTGGCAGGGGTAGGGGTGTGGGGGGAGGGAGACTTAATCCTAAAGATAATTTGATGAGGTGGGGAAATTATATGGCAAGACAGCAGTCTGGATAATGGAGAAGTGGTAAGGACCCTGGCCAAGAGCAGGAAGTGTGGCAATTGAGAACTGGACAGCTATTTAAAAGATAGAATCATTAAAAAAAAAAAAAAAAAAAAAAAAAAAAAACAGCTGAAACTGGTTTGGCTCAGTGGATAGAGCATCGGCCTGTGGACTGAAAGGTCCCAGGTTTGATTGCGGACAAGGGCATGTACCTTGGCTGCGGGCACATCCTTAGGAGGGGGTGTGCAAGAGGCAGCTGATCGATGATTCTCTCTCATCGGTGTTTCTAACTCTCTATCCCTCTCTCTTCCTCTCTGTAAAAAAATCAATAAAATATATTTTTAAAAATAAAATTAAAAAACAATAACAAGAATGAGGTATGAGAGACAGGAAAAGTCAAGACAGATCCATGCCATTGCTCTTCCACAGGCATCCTAGTTTCCTGGAGCCCATGTCTCCCTGACAAACTCTTAACCAGAACCAGTGCTATAGTGCATGGATCAGCAAACTTTCCCTGCAAAGCATGGGTGGGGGACCCTTTTCTGTCAAGGGCCACTTGGATATTTATAACATCATTCACTTAATATAATTCACTTAATACAAGTTTATGCTGCTATGAGAAAAGCTCCTAGATTTATTGAATTTTGAGTCCTGCCTGCGGTTGCTGTGGCAAGGCCCGTCTAAATGATTTTGCAGGCCTTATACCATCCGAGGACTGGATGTTCCTCACCCCTGCTATAAAGGGTTGTAAAGTAAGTAATTTAGATTTTGCAGGTGCTGTGACCTTTAAAAGGGTGAAAACAATTCTTAGGGGTGATTAGGAGCATAAAGAAAGAGGCTCTGCGATTCACTGAATCTGCTTCTCTGTCCTCCCCGTCCACAACAGTACACACCTGGGACATTCCCACAGTTGGACGTGTTCCCAGTGTATTTGGGATCATTTTTTGTACCATCATCCTTCATTGCCACAAAATGATTTTTCAGCAATAATAATTTGCAATGGTCTGAAATAATTATGATTTTATTTGTTCTTCTGTTATAAATCAATTGCTTAAAAAGAATAAATTTTCGCTTTCAAGACATTATTCAAATCGAGCAATTGACTCCAAATTTCACTTTCCAAACCAAAGTTTTTCACCTCTCACTCTGTTTTGCCATTTTAAATTTTAAACAAAAATAAAATCTCCTGGTGGGCATAGAGAGCGGCAGAAGGGTGAAGTAACTCGAGTTCTGCTGTTACAGTTCTCTCAAATGTCCTGCAGTGATATGTGGCAATGCAGGGACCGCAGACCCGGATTGAGCCGAGGTGAGCTCCAACAACTCTGCACTCTTAGGAATTTACTCCTAAAACAAGTGTGTGTAGCTGGGCCACACCTGTGCCAGGGCTCAACCAGTGATTCCCTGAAATAATTTCCATGTAGAATACAATGTTTAAGAAAGGATGAGTAATAAAGCAGCCTAACTTGAAGCTTACAGATGTATATCATTGAAACATAACTATTTGGAAATTTGACCAGCAAAAGATTTTTTTTTTTTTGAGAGGAGTATTTTATTAGTGACATTGTCTAGAATTGCTGGCATGCATTTTTTAAAAATATTTTTTTATTTATTTCAGAGAGGAAGGAAGAGGGAGAGAGAGAGAGAAACATCAATGATGACAGAGAATCATTGACCGGCTGCCTCCCGCATGCCCCCTACTGGGGATCAAGCCCACAAGCTGGGCATGTGCCCTTGACCGAAACCTGGGACCCTTCAGTTTGATGTTCTATTCACTGAGCCAAACTAGCTAGGGCACTGCAGCCACATATTGAACATAAAAAAGCAGAGTAACTTAGAGTTAATTGTTTTGAAATTCTCTGTGGATGACACTCCACCTAATTGCTAGCCTTTGGGGCAGAGTGCTCCTGTTGCTCTGTGCTTGGTGCTCCACTACCGGTGGCCTAGCAATTGTGTGATGCAGGACTCAGCTCCATTTGGAACTGCCCAACAATCATTTCCATATGTAATAGGCAACAGTCTCTTCTATTATCCTGAACATTGAGGCCTTTTCATAACCACCATCCTCCTCATTCTCAGCCAATGTCCTAAACATCCCTACTTCACCAAAAAAAAAAAAAAAAAAAAAAAAAAAAAAAAAAAAAAAAAAAAAAAAAAAAAAAAAATTAGACCAATAGGTGTAACTTTCCAACCTCTCTACTCACAATCTTATCTCTGTCCACCATTACTTTCTCCAGTCTCAGAGGAGGATTTATCCCCCTGATCAAGATCAACTCTCTGGTCCCACCACCTCCAAGACTAGTCATCCTCTCTCCTCCTTCTGTCTCTGCTTCTTTTGCTCCTTATTCTCAGTTCTTATGCACCCCTTAATTCTCATCCTAAAAAATAAAACAAAACCAGAGTACTCCCTGACTTAGCACCACCCCCTCCCAGCTTCTTCTAGCCTCCTTCCTCTTGTTCAAACATCTTGAGAGATGTATCTATGCAAAGCATAAATCTCATCATTAGAGAGCTGTATCTCCCATTATAAGATAGTTAATTGAGTTCTACTTTGTAAATCTCTTCTGAGTTGGGTACACACAAGTCAGTCCCCCTGAGGCTAATCCATTCTAGCTCTATTGAGCACTTGGATCCACAAAATGAGAACCAGAATTTATGCCAGGGCCCCACCATGGTGAAGCCACTCTGCAAGCCTGCCTAAGGCCCGGTATCTTCCTTCTCTGATATATTTTCATCCATCTCAATAAAGGACTTAAGAATGAGCTTTAAAGTCAGAAATAGCTGGGTTCAAACCTTCATTTCCTGTCTGACCATACTGCTTATTACCTATGAGTCTTTGGGAAAGTTGCCTCCTTTCTCTATTTTCATATATTTAAAATAGAGATTATAATATTTACATATAGAGTGACTTTAAAAATTAAATAAAAGCGCTTCATCCTGAGAAAAAAATGAGAAGTGTTCCCAAATCTGCATGATAACAAAGATTCATCTGAGGGTCTGATATGATGATGGGACCTCTTTGGTTATGATGAGGAGGAAGAGCTATCCAAAGAAGATGAAGAATTTTTTGTTTTGATATTCAATAAAATGATTTGTCATGTGTATTTCAGAAAATCTTGGAAGATGTATACAAGTCATGAAGATATTGGGTATGATTTTGAAGATGTCCCCAAAGATAAGAAGACACTTAAATCCCACCCAGACATTGATGGTGGCTGGGCTTGGATGATGGTCCTTTCCTCTTTCTTTGTGCACATCCTCATCATGGGTTCCCAGATGGCCCTGGGGGTCCTCAATGTGGAATGGCTTGAAGAATTCCATCAGAGCCGTGGCCTGACCGCATGGGTCAGCTCCCTCAGCATGGGCATCACCTTGATTGTGGGTATGTTCGCCTGTCAGCTATTGTAAAACTGAATGGTTATAAAATGGCAATTCCCCAACATAAGTAATGTTTTCTATTGTTGAAACAGTAATGTTAGTGATGTTACTGTTTATTGTGGTAAAATGTACATAATATAAAGTTTACCATTTTAACCATTTTTAGGTAAACAGTTTGCCATTGAGTACATTCATCACCACCCTCCATCTCCAGAACTTTTTTTCATCTTCCCAAACTGAAACTCTGTACCCACCGAACAGTAACTCCCTATTCCTCCTTCCCCAGCCCCTGGCTGCCACCATTCTATTTTCAGTCTTTATGAGTTTGATTACTCTAAGTACCTCATATAAGTGGAGTAATACAATATTTGTCCTTTTGTGTGATATTGCCATCTGAATATTATGAACACTTGGAGTATTTTTTAAATTGGTCATTTTTAAAACTCTCTTTTGCCCCAAGCTCCATTTTCTTAACTGTTGTAACACAATTATATACCATTACAAATACCTGTTCATTTAACACTTATGAATATTTCTAAAAGATAAAAAATTTAGAGGAGACACTATAAAAGTCAACTAACAATCTTATTTCAGAGTTCTAATTAATTTGAAATTGACCATATACTATTGGAAAATCTATTAAACTATTTTTAGGGAAGCTACTGATATAGAAAATAGGGAAGAATAGTAATATATTCTTGCATTTTCTAGTTAAGCCTACCCAAACAGCAATCTATAAAACCAATTCTTCTCCAGTTGGAAATACTAAACTAGAAAGTTATTATAAATTTAATATGTTATTATAGCTAATGTGTTTCATTTTGGGAACTAAGCAACTTTCACTGTCAACTAATATTCATTAAGTACTTATTTATACCAGGTGCTTTCCTTTACAGTATCTCATTTAATTCTAACAATCTACCACTATACCCTAATGTTCACTTGCTCCACTTGAAAGGAACAACCATCATTTTATGTCAGTTTTTTTTTAAATTTAAAATATTTGTGACATATTTTATATTGGAAACATAAATGGCCTCTAATCTTTTTCTGGTTTTGTGAGAGTATGTGTATGACAAACATATGTGTGTTTGATGGGAGTCTGTGACTTTTTGGTGGTTTCTATATTAACAAGTAATCACTTGAATCCAACTCAGAGATTTGTTGATCTAATTTGGCACTCAATTAATGCTATTTTGGGTAATACACATGATACTAACACAATAATAATACTAATGATAGAAAACAAGGACAAACTGTTATTTCCCACGATGTGGGTGGGATGTGTGTGTTTATCAAAGGGAATTAATGCTGACCTAGCTTTAAAATTAAATAAGGGCATCATTATGTGTGTGAGAAAAATGCTAAGAAATTATATTTGCCTATAACATTGATGAACTAACTTCTTCAACCCTGCGTTGGGTAAAACTGGGACTAAAAAACTTGCATACAAAAAAAAATGCAAGTTTTACTGTGATGTAGGGAATGTGCTAGTAAATCTACTTTCTCAATAAGACAGTAAAAGAAAATTGTTTAGAATACTTAAAATCCTGGTGGGTTTTCTTTTACCTTTTAAAAAATAAAATTTGAAGAGGTTGAACAAAGTACTAGGAAGTGTATGTTTACAACAAAAAAAGAAGACTCAGCAAAAAGCCAGGGGATATAATATCACAACATTTTCCAAAATACCCAATAAGGCTGTCTTAAGCCATAGAAACTAGTCCTGAAATGACTGAATATAGGCTTGAAGTTGATCCCTCAAAATAACAACACTTAATGTGTAGTGATGGTGAAATGCGATTGTTATCCTCAGTTTAATTGGGAGGTAACTGTAGTCAGAATTCTGTTTGAGAGCCCAGAATCCCTGAATTCCAGACAATGGAACTTCAGATTGTAGACAAACCTTTCTACAGAAAAGGTACTTAAAAAACATCTTTTGCTGTGGGGCTCAGAAATCATAACACAGCAAGGCTCGTAGTTATATCAATGAAAGGTCTTTTATTCTATCTATCATAACCCTAAATGGCTGCTCATTGTCTGGAGCTGCCTGGTACAGGGGAGCTGCGGATGCATTAAGTGTTTTTCCAAGCCAGAAGCCATCAAGAATAGCCCCCTTTATTTAGTACTTACTACATGTCACACCAATATTATGTACATAATCCGATTTGATCCAACAGCAATACTGGAGGCCAGCCCATCTCTCCACCTGACAGGAAGAGCATGCAATGCTCAGAAATACTAAGTAACTTACCTAAAGTTGATCAGCCTGTAACTGTGGGACCGGCTTTAAACCTAGTCCACTGGACTCCAAAATGGTGCCCACTATACCACACTGCCTGCCATGATGTCCAATGAGAACTGAAAATACATCTGAAGTAGATAAATACAGATTGTTTTTGTTTTCTAATCACTATAAGCACAATTGTGTTATCTCTTTTAAATTTAAAAAAAAAATCTGTGAATTGTGTTACAAACTTGAAAGCCATTTCTCTGTTGGGCAGTGAGTTGCACATGGAAAATTCAATAATTTCATTCTTAGCTAGCATGGATTTTGCCAGTTTCTGCAGAAGGTTCCAATTTTTAACATCTTATTCAGGTTTCCAGCAAACTTTGTGATAGCTCTCAGAATAATTCTTGATGGAAGCCATATTATTAGGGGATTCTATGGACTGCACAAGATCACTGGCTTGCTAAGCAGATTTAAAGCAGTGGGGTCAGTCCTGGCTGCACATCAGAGCCCCCTGGGCACTTTTAATAACAGTAATGCTAGGACTGCACCTGGACCATTACATCAGGATCTCATGGGATGAGACCCAAGCATCAGGGTTTTCGGGGAGGGAGGTGTTTTTTTAAAAGCTCCTAAGTGACTCCGGTGTTCAGCTAAGGCAGAGAGCCACTGATTTAGAGGCTCCTAACGCTTATTGCCATGAGGCGTTGTTAGTCCAAGAGACTAGGAGTTCATATCTAACCTCATCTATGATTGTATGCCAAGGCACTCTTCAGATTGTTTCTGCCCTCACCAGAACTGTTTTTAACTTACGATGCTTGGATGGGCAAGAAATTATGACTTCCTCTGGGTGTTTCCTGCAACAACATAACACTTTATTGTGTGGGAAATGGGCTGAGATTCAGATTTCCTTCTGGAGAAGAGAGAGTCTGATGATGAATAATCTCATTCCAAAACACAGAATTGCTTTATGAAAGTGGGAATCATAGCCAAAGGACTGTATCTCAGTCTTCTCCCCATCTCCTTAGACTGTGTGGGGAGTTCTCCTCTTGTTGAAATAGCAGTGCAAGCTTTGAGATGCTGCTGGCCATCAATAAACAATGGTCAGAAAACAGAACAGTCAGAAAGCTTAGATCTATAGTTTGTAACTGTGGAGGAGTCATTCGGGGCATTTCTGGGTCTGATTTTGCCCACCTGCAAATCATAAATGACTGAAACTCCAGCTTGAATTGGGCGAGAGTTAATGAATCAAAAAACCAGACACCAGTATTAACTAATGTTTCTATCAGTAAAGCTTTTTGATATGTAATATTCCTGTAGACAGGAATATCTGCACTTAGGAATTTCTCCCCCTCTTTCTTCAAATGCTTTCTTCATGTAAGTTTCATAAGCAGGCAGAAATACTGACTTCTGGGCCTTCCTGTAATGCAGAAAATATGTTCGTGCTACTGCACTGTGATCTGTTGGCCTTTCAGATCCTAAAAGGCCTATTAACAGCTAAGCCATGAGTCATGCATTTTTCTCTTTTTAGCCTTTCATTTTGGATGCAAGTAGTGAAATGACCATGGGTTTAAAGAAAATAAAAATACAGTGGGGAGGGGAGGAAGATCTGGGGGAGATAATAGATCAACCGAAGGACTTGTATACATGCATATAAGTACAACCAATGGACATAAAACTCTGGGGAGGGAGGGGGGTAAAAAAAATCAATAAAATATGTAAAAAAAATAAATTAAAAAAATAATAAAAATATTTGTAAAGACATCAAAGAAATATCTTCAACTTTGAGTTTCAGTTGTTCCCAATAATTCCCCCAGATGTTTATCAATAGGCTTAGTTTACATATTTGTATAATGTGCTTATTGTAGAATACCTAAAGAAGTATATTTATCTAGAATATATTTACTATGTTAAATCTATTCTAAGAGATTTATCTACTGAATTATTTTCTGTAATGTGATAGGGTTAAGCGAATAAGTCTTTATCCTCATAATTTTTACAATTAACCCCTCTCAAAACCATTAGTTCAAAACAAAAAATAAATCAATAAATAAACTCTTAGCTGACTGTGTACCCAAATATGCACATGAATATAGTTAGAATTCTACAGAGTGTTTTTCAGTTTTGGCCAAAAGGGGAAGCTCCTTAGAGTTCAACAAGTTTTTAAACTGCATAATTTCACCTGAATACAGTTATAAAACTATGTAAGATAATGATAAAAAAAAATAAGATTATGATAAAATCTGCCCTCTTACTGAATGTTGAGTATGGCTTCACACTGTACTGTATTGCTAAAATCTGGATTGCTATATGGATAAGGAATCATTGATCACAAGGCAAGCATTAGGCTTCAGTGACAGAAATTACCACAACATCAGGAAGAAAACAAAGAGGATTGACAAAAGCTAGAGCATCAAAGTAAAGTAAGCAATCAGAATGTGTGTCATGTAATACTGTACGGCTGTGTGCATCAGGACATCTTGCATAATGAGTGTTTTGCTGAATCTCCACATGGTGTGATAAATGCACAGCCTGATGGGTCCAGTCTGATGAGTCCTTTTCAGCTTGGCTTTCATCTAGTATCCTCATGACAACAGGCTCTAGGTCCTTTGCCTGAAGCCTGGGAGTCCTGAGAACCCCCTTCCTGTACTCCCTTTTGGGTTTGGAGTCAAAAACTGAAATGTGCACAGAAGCCAAACACTTCATGTAAATGAGGGCAGGAGGCCAGATATAAAACTAAGGGGAGACTGGGCAAGCTAGAGAGGGTGTGATGCTGCTACAGGGACCAGCTACTGCACAGCTCCAGCTGACTTGAGCTATGTGGGAAGATAATGTGCTGCCATTGAACTTTTTTTTTAATTCTCTTAATTTTAAAAGGGACCAATCATTCAAAGCATTTTAAATATATATTTGAGTACACAGTCAGCTAAGAGTTTTTTGTTGTTTGAGCTAAACAATATGCAATGACACGCTGAATGGAGTCCCTATGTCAGTTTAGGACTTCTGCTGTGTTAAGAGAATGAGCCAATTTATCTATTTCAGTTCTACCTTCCTTGAAAGTCTAGAACCTTGTGCTCACCAGTAAAATTATTAAAAACCATCTTTGCATGCTAGGAGCCTTTTTTTTTTTTTTTTTTTTTTTTTTGTCTAAAGCAATGGAGTTTTGACCCTTTAAAGTCTCCAAGGTGTATTACCGCCCCCCTAGCTCAGAATGTCTTCTATACCTAGATCCCCCTTTCTGTCTGAACCTCTCATGTCAGGTGGGGTCCCTGACTCTCTCATGTATGCAAGATTTCCACACATATATATGTATTAAATTTGCTTATTTTCTCTTGCTTAAAAAAAAAAAAGAAGCAGTGGGGGTGTTTTATTTAACAGACCTAGAAAAGTTTCATTCTTTGTCTTTCTGTGGGGATTTTCTAAGCAGGCAGGAAAATAAAATGCTCTTAGACCATTCCTGTCCATGTTCTGCGGCAGGACCCTTCATCGGCTTGTTCATTAACACCTGCGGCTGCCGCGGGACGGCGATCGTCGGCGGACTCGTGAACTCGCTCGGCTGGGTGTTGAGCGCCTATGCCGCCAACGTCCATTATCTCTTCATTACCTTCGGAGTGACAGCTGGTAAGCACAGCGATTTTATTTTAATTGGACACTAAATGTTCTGGTTGGACACTTTGGCAATGAATGTTATTGTGCAGAAAAGGGACCCATTGAACTATTTTGTCTTTCTGTCTCCTCCATCGTGGCCTCCCCATCCCCATTTTACTCTCCAGAAAAAAAAATTTTAATATACTAAATATGCCTTAAGTATGCCAGGACAACCTAACAACTGTACTTGGTCTAATAGATTTTCTTTCATAGAGGGAGGAAAGAAGGGAGGAAGGGAGAAAGAAACACCGATGTGAGAGAAACACATTGATTGGTTGCCTACCGTATGCACCCCAACCGGACCTAGGAGTTGAACCCACAGCCTCTTGATGTCACAGGCAGACACCCCACCCATTGAGCAACACCAGCAGGGCCCTCACTAGTAGAATTTAATTAAATCTTCCGTACCTGGTTCTAAGTGCTATCCTTTCTCTTACAAGTAACAGGAAAAAGGGAGGTAAAAATACAGATGTAGGTAACATATTCAGGAAATTAATAACATTCTCATTTAAAAACTGCAGGATTGAGCATGAATCACAGAATAATCATTTTGTCTTTTCGCCCTGTTCAAATTAATGACATGGCAGCAAAACCCGTCTACATGTAGACTTAAGAAGCAAATCTAGAGCACAGTTAGAGGGGTAGTCCCCAGTGGAGAGGTAAAAATTGGCTGCCGGGCAGCACGGTTTGCCTATTCGTTCTGACAAATATCTCCCCAGCCATAATTTCCTTTATCAACAGGTAGCAGCATTCACCCGGATAAGAAGTAGTTTCTCACTGGTACAGTTGTTCTCAAATGAGCCAGAACCAGCTGACTTTCTTTTTTGACTACAGGCTTTTTTAGAAATGTGTCCTCATAACAAACAGTCCAATGAACAGAGCCCACACGGGAGTTTTGTGTTATAGGTAAGGAGATAAACACTCTTTCTGCTGAGACTGAGACACACTGGGGTCTCTGGGCAGACCCTATGAAATCGATCTGGTCGTGTTTGGTTATATGGACTGTGACTTGATCCTAATAACCAGGACTTGAGACTTAGTCTCATCATTTAGAGATTTCTGTAACATTCTTTGTTTAAATGGAATTTTATTTCTTGCAGTTAATTGCTTATTGATCCTCAAACGTCTCTTTATCTATTTACTTATTTTTCATCCATTTATTTATTCAATGAATGTTTATGGATCCAAAGAAGTAGGAAGAAAATTAGAAGGCTTTGAAAGAAAAGTATTTCTTGAGATACTTGATTGCTCCCATTTTTTTTTTTTTAATACAGGAAAAACCCAAAGAAAGAGTCTCTGAAAACACATTCACTTACCTTCCCCACAAAAATATGTATATAACTATAGTTAAGTAGAAAAATTAGCTAAATCAGTTAAATTAAAATGAGCCAAATGCTGTTGGGCTGTCATTAATTGGGCATTTTGAAGCTGCCTGGCAATCTAGCTCCTTTATAAAAAAATTAAAATTAAAAAAAAGTTAGATGCAAAAATATACTGCAAAGGCAGGTGATGGATATATATTTATATCACTGTACAGTTTGTGTTTGAAAGAAACTTTGTTGGTATCCTTCATTCCTAAAGGCATTTCAGACATATTTGTTTCTATCTTTCTTTTTTTTTTTTTTTTAATACGTTTTTATTGTTTTGAGAGAGAGAGAAAGGGAGAAGGAGAAATAGAAATGTTGATGAGAGAGGAAGATCAATGGCCTGCCTCCTGCATGCCCCAACAACCACTGAGTCTGTTTTTATTTATTTTTTTAACACCTTAACAATTAAAATTGGGTAGGAATGTTCTCTTATTAAGCAGAAAATTGATGTCTATTTGAGCAATTTTTCTTAGCCAAGAGAGTCTGGACAAATTTCTTTAATTTTGCCCGGTGGGATTGGGCCTAAATGGGCAGTTGGACATCCTTCTCACAGTCCTGGTCTGCTGGCTCCCAACCGCTCACCTGCCTGCCTTCCTGATCACCCCTAATCACTTCTGCCTGCCAGCCTGATCGCCCCCTTAATCACTCCCATGCCAACCTTATTGATGTCTAACTGCTCCCCTACCAGCCTTTTTTCACCCAACTTCCCTCTCTGCCGGTCTGGTCACTCCTAACTGTCCTCCTCCGCAGGGTTGATTTCCCCCAGTTGCCCTCCTTTGCAGGCCTCGTCCCTCTCAACTGCCCTCCCCTGCTGGCCATCTTGTGGTGGCCATCTTTTGTCCACATGAGGGAAGGATCTTTGACCACATGGGGGCAGCTATCTTGATCTTGTGCTTTAGAGTGATGATCAATATGCATATTACTCTTTTATTAGATAGGATATAGGCTTGGTGAGCAGGTTGAGGCCAGCTGGTTTGCCCTAGAGAGTGTCCCGAATCAGGATGGGGGTTCTTTTGAGGCATGGGGTGGCCTGGGCAAGAGGCCTGTGGTGGTTTGCAGGCCAGTCACACCTCCTGGCAACCCAAGCGGAGGCCCGGGTATCTGGAATTTATATATCTTCTACAATTGAAACTTTGTAGCCTGGAGCAGAGCCAAGCCTTCTGCTTCCTCCGTGGCTGCCAGCATTTCTGTTTGGATTTGTTTACCTTATATAATTGAAACTTTGTAGCCTTGAGTGGAGGCTTAGGCAGGCTAGGGCAGGTGGAAAGCTTGGCTTCTTCCATTGCCAGAGAAACACAAGCCTCCCTCCTGTTCTCTGTGGCTGTAGCCATCTTGGTTGGGGTTAATTTGCATACTCACTCTGATTGGTTGGTGGGCATGGCTGGTGGGTGTAGCAGAGGTATGGTCAATTTGCATATTGCTCTTTTATTAGATAAGAATAGGACACTGCCATTCTAATGTTGGGAGATCCAAATGGGGCCCAGAATCATTGAAATGGGGATTATGGTTTCTCTGTACCTAGAACTTGAACATACAGCCCACAATCTCTATTTTAATTTCATTTGGCCAGTATTTTAATTTCATTTTGTTTATTTTTTTAATATACTTCATTTTGTAGAGCAGTTTTAGGTCCACAGTGAAACTGAAGAGAAAGTAGAGAGTTCCCCAAACCACTGGCCCCAACACAAACATCCCCACCAGCGCTGTAATTTTGACAGTGAAAATCACAAACAGTGCCTATTTTCTAAGAAAGAGACAATACAATTCAAAATCAGAGATACAAATAAGTGTTGGGTGGCTTTGACCTCAAGTGTGTATGTTTATGGGCGCATTATAATTTCTTATATTCTTCCAGCTAATTTGTGAACAGATCGGCCCCTTCCTGAGGTATCTGCAAATTGCCTGGAGGTGAACTTCATCCCCTGTAAACCCTTTCCTGGGTGCTTTGTGCACTTGGCCCTGACACGGGAGTCCTCAGGAGCCATGAGTTCTTTCAGCCAATCCATAGGCACACTGTGTGTGTCCTGGGCAGTAAGAGACAGTACCAGGGATGACAGGAAAGCACGGCCCTGCCCCAGAGCTTACATTCTGATGTGAGCATTGATCTTTATCCTATTACCAAAATAACTTGTATTGCAAAGCCTGTTGGGGGAACTGATGGGCTAGAAACTTTGGGGATGACCCTCTTGGTAGTAGAACAAGTAATTTTGAACAAGTATCAGTTGTTGTTTTAAAATAGCATAAAGACAAAAATAATGCAATGCAGGTGATCTTCAAATGCTGCCGGTCCTGGAGATGGCCATTTATGTCATGCTGTGTGCTTTGTCTTCCCCCTTTCCACCTCGCAGGCTTTGGGAGTGGGATGGCCTACCTGCCGGCAGTGGTCATGGTGGGTAGATACTTCCAGAAAAGGCGCGCCCTGGCCCAGGGCCTCAGCACCACGGGGACCGGCTTTGGCACCTTCCTCATGACGGTCTTGCTCAAATACCTGTGCGCGGAGTACGGGTGGCGGAACGCGATGTTCATCCAAGGCGCCGTCTCGTTAAACCTGTGTGTGTGCGGGGCGCTCATGAGGCCCCTCTCTCCTGGGAAGGAGAGAAAAGACCCAGCAGGGAGAGATCCGCAGGTGCCCCCTGCTCACTCTACAGAATCTGTGAAGTCCAGCGGACGGCTGGGCAGGGCAGACGACAAGGAGGGCAGCCCCGGGCGCGTGGAGACCCTGGGCGACCTTGCGGACCAGGCGTGCCCGGAGGAGGCCGGGCGCAGGAAGAACCTGTGCGCCTTCCGGGTGCTAAAGATGGTGAGCCAGCTGACCCTGCGCGTCAGGAAGGGCTTCCAGGAATGGTACTCCGGCTATTTTGGGGCAGCCTCCCTCTTTACTAACAGGGTGTTTGTAGCTTTTATTTTCTGGGCCCTGTTTGCATACAGCAGCTTTGTCATCCCTTTCATTCACCTCCCAGAAATAGTCAATTTGTATAATTTATCAGAGCAAAACGACGTTTTCCCCCTGACGTCCATCATAGCAATCGTTCATATCTTCGGGAAAGTGGTCCTGGGCATCGTGGCGGACTTGCCCTGCATCAGCGTCTGGAATGTCTTCCTGATGGCCAACTTCACCCTCGTGCTCAGCATTTTCCTTCTGCCACTGATGCACACGTATGCCAGCCTGGCGGTCATCTGCGCCCTGATAGGCTTTTCCAGCGGTTACTTCTCCCTGATGCCCGTCGTGACTGAAGACTTGGTGGGGATTGAGCACCTGGCCAATGCCTATGGCATCATCATCTGTGCTAACGGCATCTCTGCATTGCTGGGACCACCGTTTGCAGGTAATGTACAAGGTTTTATTTTATTTTATTTAACTTTTAATTTTTTTAATGATTTCGGAGAGGAAGGTAGAGGCAGAGAGAGAATCATTGATTGGCTGCCTCCTGCATGCCCCCTACTGGTGATTGAGCCCACAACCCCGGGCATGTGCCCTGATGGGGAATCGAATCCTCACCTCTAGTTCGGAGGTCAACACTCAATCACTGAGCCACGCTAGCCAGGCAACCATCCATACAAGATTTTAAAGCTTAGAGTGCATCTAGATTATTAGCTTGTATTCATCAATGTTATGAAGTCCAGGGTAAATAAGAAGGAAGTTTCCATTTGTGTACATGCCTTTTTCCTTCTTATTCCTGCCCCCAAATTTCTCACTTACACATTTTAGCAAGTAAAAGGTCACTCTTCCATGTAGAATGCACATGAACTTTTGATCCTCATCTATACAGTATAATAAGCTGTCAGCGAATGGAGTGGATAGGCAACAGGATAATGCAGAGCCCTTCCAGGACTGATTTCTGTCCCCAAGCGAGAAGGAGAACTGTTGCCTGATCTTCTATTGCTGGGTGAGGGGGCAGTCTCCCGAGAGAAACTAAGACTGGAACACTTAGGTGATATTTTCAGATTTTCAAAAGACTGTAAATCCAACAGAACACATCTGTGGGCTGGATCTAGCCCTGTAGTAATTTTCTATTGCTGCTGGAATAAATTGCCTTGAACATAGTGGCTTCAAACAGTACAGATTTATGATCTTGCAGTTGTAGAGGTCAGGTTAAATTGGATCACAATGGGTTAAAATCAAGGTGTCAGCAGAACTAAGGAGGACTCCGTTTCCTTGCCTTCTACAGCTTCTGGAGGCTGCCTGCTTTTTTGGCCCCTGGCCCCTTCCTCCAACCTCTAGCCAGAAGCACATCTTCTCATCTCTCTCTGAGTTGGACTCTTCTGCCTCCTGCTTTTACGTATGGAGACACCCATGATTACATTGGGTCCACCAGATCATCCAGGATAATATCTTATCTCAAAACCTTTAACATAAATCCCCTTTGCCATGTAAGGTAACATTCATAGGTTCCAGGTACTGGGACTTGGGCATTTGGAGAAAATTGGAGAATTCTGCTTACCTCAGGCTTAGTTGACAGACATCTCTCACATGGATTCACCTCAGTTCGACAGAAAATTTGCTTTTTGCAATGGGTGTACCAGAAGTCCTGTGCCAGGCCAAGTACCTCTCTGCAGCCTCCTATGGGGAGGGTTTACACTTTGTGGAAAGGCACATAAGGGTTGGGCAGGTAGATTCAATTCCCAAGAGGCCAGATACTGGGGAAAGATGACAGGGTCTACCCTCTATCTAAGGATTGAAGGCAGGGACTGAAGCCAAATGTCTGGAGATGGCTATCAGGGTGACCAGGCCAGGACAGGTGGCAATTGTCATAGCTGCCAGAGGTTGTGAGCAGTTTTTTAAACTAACCTGGTAGAGCCTCACCTGTTCAGATATCCTTGCTCACATCGTCTGCACGAATACCTCTTCTCAGTGGGTGGGGAACCCATGGGTGCTGGACAAAACCTTCCCCGTCTCTTCTTTCTACATATCCTACTGTTATTGCCTGTCCTAGGGACCCTCTGGTGGAAGGCTTATGGTGACATACCTATCTTTAAGTCCCCATCAGAATTTGAAGTTTAGCTGCATGGCTAATAGCACTGGCAACTGGCTGACTAAGGTTAAGGCCTAAGAATCATGTTAGGAAATTTGAAGGCCATCTACGGGAACTCCTGGATCAGGCTGCTCCTCTTCTCTGCCTATGCACAGATACATACACAGTATTTCTAGGTGACAAACTATTGGCAGCTGAATAGTCTGAACTTGCACTGATCTCATTGTACAGAATTCTCTATCAGTCAGGGAAGCCTTTGGCTATAAGAGAACACCCTGCCACTAGTAACTTAAGCAGAGATTTAATTATGTCATGTAACGAGAAATCTAGAGTTCTGGGACTAGATGATAGTAGGACTAGATGATAGTGGGACTAGATGATAGGGCTCCACCACACCATTCTCATTTAAATATGAAGGAGGAAGGAAGAAAAGACTCAATTCCAGCTGACTTCTACTCATGCCTGATTGGCCAGAACTAAGCTTCCAGGGGGACTGAAAATTGGAGTATTTCTTTTCAGCCTTTATACAAGAAGAAGAAAAAAGAGAAAAGAATTGGGATTGGGTGTTGGATCAGTCAACCAATGGTACTTTCAAGAGATGTTAAACTGAAAAATCCATTAAGGGGATGAGGTTATTGTGGCTCACCTACCCTCTTGTTGGAGGCCCTTCATTTTTATATTGTATGTGGAAATGAAATCTGTCATTGATGGTCCTTTGCATGATCCACAGGTACTTTCTGCTTCCAATGGTCAGTCTGGGATTATTTGTATACTGACCACCAGATTTCAACAGCAGCACCATAACACAGCTGTGAGGTGCTGCATAAGTAATTCATGATCAATGTTAGTTAAAGCACCAACATTTGCCAGCTTGGTTTTCTTGTCCCATTCCTAGGGTCATGTCCTTCTCACGCATTTGAATTCTAGTGCACTTTCTTGAGTGAAAGAGAAAGGAATTGCAACTAGAAGACAGGCAGAGTCCCCTGGTTGGGGTGGCTAAGTTGGTTAGAGTGTCATCCAATACACCAGAGGTGGTGGGTTCAATTCCTGGTCAGAGCACATACCCAGGTTAGGGGTTCAATCCCCAATTGGAGTATCTTCAAGAGGCAACCAATCAATATTTCTCTTTCTCTCTTTCTAATCAATAAAAAATTAAATTAAAATCTTTTAAAAGGCTTCATATATTATTAAAAAGTGAAGAAGCCAGGGAATTAGTTATACCCAGTCTTCAGTCATCAGGCGTTATCTTTACCTGCTTCAAGGTTCCTCCCGAGAAGTGGACTTTAGATGAATGTGATTCACCATGATGATAGAAACCATTTTATTAATGGTTCAGAACCTCCTATGAAGATGTATCAAATGCTTCTATGGAGACTCTAAAATCGATGTTCTGATGTGCATGTCAAGGCCAGAAGCCTAAAAAGGACTTTGCTCCTTTTTATTTGTTCCTTCTCCTTCCACTGAATCCATGCACTAAGGAACACTGAGCACATCACTGGCTAACTGCACTGTGTCTAAGTCATTGACTTTCCAGGCCAAGAAGCCTACACTGCAATGAACTACAAGCCCAGCCTTTATGCATTGTAGTTCAGAAGTGACTGGCAATATGAGCGACTTAATAACATTAAAATCTTGCTAGAAATTTCAGGTGGGATAGAAATTACTTCTTAGCTGGATTTGCTACAAGGTAAATTACTGTTCACATCACCTTTTTTTCAAATGGGTTTAGAAATGAAGGTGTTTTTCATTTTGCAAAGCAGTTTCTACTGACATCAAAAATTCTGGTACAATTTAGTAGCAATCACACATTTCCACTAAGCAGAATACATAATCAAAGTCATTGAACAGATATTTCACCATGTCATTTAACAGCATGAACTTCCTGGTATAATTCATTTATAATATTGCTGGGCATTCAGTTCTTCTCCTTTAAAGATGTAATAATAATAATAGATACTTTTCTAGATGGTTCCAGTGTAAAATATAGCAAAACTCAGCCAACAGATTTGACTAACCAAGAAGCTACACATATTTCCTCCAATTGCTTGAAATATAACACCTAATAACAATTTGCAATGTTTTTCACCAAAAGCTGGGAAAGCATTTAATAGGTAAGAAAAACAGCCGTCATTCATCATTTGACAGATTCAAATGAAAGGGAGATGCAATTTTATAGGGAACAAGATTTCCCTTTGAAGCTGTTGATTTGAATTGATGGTTGGATCAGGAGTTGCCAAGGATCCCAGGCAACAAACCAGGCAACCAGGATCAGACCTGTAGGGGGACATGGTTAAGCACAGCTTGTCTGAAACCTCTGGTTTCTGAAGAGTTTTGTCCACATGTTGCTGGATCAAAGCACGTGATCAAGTACAGCATCTCGTGACTTGCTTTGCATTGGACTCAAACTGAGTTGAGTGCAAAGAGTCATTTAAAAAGAAATCCTAAAGGTAGATTATGGGATTAATCAAACATAAAATTGGGGACTATTTCTCCAATTTGTATTGTTTGGTGAAGTTGGGTGTACTTTTTTAAAAAGTAACTTTTATTTTTTTAAATATATTTTATTGATTTTTTACAGAGAGAAAGAGAGAGGGATAGAGAGTTAGAAACATCAATGAGAGAGAATCATCGATCAGCTACCTCTTGCACACCCCCTATTGGGGATGTGCCCACAACCAACGTACATGCCCTTGACCGGAATCGAACCTGGGACCTTTCAGTCCGCAGTCCGATGCTCTATCCACTGAGCCAAACCGGTTTCGGCTAAAAAGTAACTTTTAAATACTGGGGTCCTTGATTGCGAGAGGGCACAGGTCAGGCCCAGGGACCCCACGGGTGCACAATCGGGGCTGGGAAGGGACTGTGGGAGGGCTCCGAGGCTTGCCCGGCCCATCTCGGAAAGCTAATCTACCAGTTGTAGCGTCTGTCCCCTGGTGATCAGTGCTTACCATATTGAGCCATTGAGCAACCTTAGCATATTATTAATATATTATGCTTTTTTTTATTAGTTGACTGGTCAACTGGGCACTTAGCATATTAGCTTTTATTATATATGATACTTAGCAGATATTTTCTGTAGTCTGCAGAGACAAAAGGGGGTATGGTGTGGTGGGAAGGAGGTGTGAGAGTGTTCTAAGGGTGATGGTGTTTATTATTATATCCTCCTGAAGCGGGAATAGTACATGCACAGATGAGGAGCCAAGAGAAATGTGTTTGAAAGTCTAAAATATTTAGTATGGCTTGTGCTCATGGTCAGCTCAGAGCAGTAAGGGAGAGCGGTGGGTAGGCCACATCACAGAGCCTTGGAGCTTAGATTAACCACTCACCCAAAAAGTAAATTGTCTGAACTAAAAACAAATTAATTTCCAGCCAGTTAGGATTTTGTCCTATTTTGAGGTCCGTGCTAAGCAGCAATGGTATTTCAGCAACTCCTTTCGGCTAGCAGTGTTTGTGGTTTAGAGCCATCATTTCTATTTTGTCAGTTCATCATATGAAAAGTGAAGATTTAACTATTAAAATTATAAGGTCGTCTTTCCTCTGGGATGAGTGGAGTATGAGAACCTCATTTACAATTATTAATGTTTTTAAATTGACACTATGGATAGTCCCGTTGTGTGTATACTCCACTTACATGTACAGACTTCTCTGCATTATCTGCAAAGGACTCATTCATTGGTCATGATTCACAGTGGTCCACAGTGGCCAAATGGTTACACTGAGCAGAAGTTTGTTTTTGTTTTTGTTTTTGTTTTTGTTCATATGTCAGTGCACCTTTCTGATTTAGTTCTGAGGCAGAGTCATTATTTTCAGATTATATGTCTAATATAATAAAATTGTCTGTTCCTCTTGCCTCAAATTGGAGATTAAAAAAAGATAATAGAATATTTTACTAAGCCACATGGAGTCTGATATTTTCTTTTTTTTTAATCAAATGACAAACTCAAAACTTGGTTAACTATTAAAGTATATCCAGAATTCATAGCTTTGGGGTGGTTAAAATTATAATTTTTAATGTTAGTGTTTGTTTTTCTTTATGACTACCATAACTGATCCAGAAACATCCACTGTGCATTAGGTACAGTAAACAAAGTGATATAAAGAACTACCAGGAAGTCGGAGGTTCTGGCTCCTCTTTTAACAGTTACTTTTGTTTAGTTATTTGTTGGTGGGAAAAGGTTAAGTTGTACTTATGCATCCATTTACCAGTAATATCTTTTTTAAAACATATTTTGAAATGTGGCCATAAAATGCTGTTTGGTCATTAAATCATTTATATTTTCTGATGCCTTTGCTAATTAATGCACTTGGAATGGAAAAGGTAAATGCTTATGCTTACATTTTTACCATAAATAAAATTTTTGTATGTGGTTTAATCCTCTCAGTCTGCATAGTTGGCTATGTGGGAACCATGGCATGTGATTGACTCTTAGAATTAATCACTGAAGGGAAAGAAACATCTTATAACATAGTTTCTGAGACTTCATTTTTTTTTTCATGTTTAACAACTCTGAAATCAGAATGCATTTTACAAAGTCCTATAAAACTTTGAATCTTATTTTAATTGACAAGATTATATCTTTCTTATTGATACATAAGACAAGAATGAATATTAGTAATTCATGGTATTTTAGAATCAATGAAATGCTGTAGTATTTTATAGAGTGAACAGTAAAATTGTGATCTGAAAGTATTAAATTACAATATTAAAGTATTATTTAAAAGGAACTGATAATTTAATTGGCATTTAAGGCTATCTTATTTGGTAACTTAAAATTTCATAAATATAAAGTTTTATAGCTATAAATATGAATTTTGTAGAACCTGGGAAATGTAATTGTTTCTGAAACTTATGTTCATCCTCATACACTTCAGAATGACAGAAAACCCAAGTGACTTCTCATAAGCTTCTTGATATACACTAGAAATTTCTTCAAAACTGTTATTAAAGGTTTTGAAAAAGATTTGTGTTTATACTTATAAAAAAATTATTAGATTCACTTTTTCATTGCTGGCTTTGTGCCTGCCTAAGAATTACCCCGAGGGCTATGAGCAGAAGATTCTCAAGAGTGGGTTTCCCAGGCTACTGTTACAGTGCCTTAAAAAGTTTCCCTAGGGCTTAGAAGATAAATGCACACATCCCCAGGTGTTGAGAACTCTGGTTCATACAGTCCAGACTTAAAAAGGGCTAAAGGAAAAGTTTTAGGCCATAAATGACATACGCATAAATTACAGAAATATTTATAGTCACAATAAGTGCTTGCTTTGTGTTCTTTAATTTAGCAACTATATTACACTGAATATATTCTTTTTTGTTTTGTAGGGTGGATCTACGACATCACACAAAAATATGATTTTTCCTTCTATATATGTGGTTTACTTTACCTGATAGGAATACTCTTTTTACTGATTCAACCATGTATTCAGATTATAGAACAATCCAGAAAGAAATCCATGGGTGGCACACAGGTGTAGTGTCATGTGATGTTTCATGTGAGATTTCTTTGTGGTTCTCACGCCTACCTCGCCTGGACGCTGTGAGGAGCCAATGACATATCGCGGGAAAGCGCTTTTGTACGGTCACTGGCACTGTCATTTGTAAATGCCATCGTCATTGCTTCATGTAAGAGCAGCACTGCCTTCTCCCACTTGGGGAGAAGCGATGGACAGTAATAAGGACTTCACGCATTTAGCGAAGACAATGTCCTTCAAAGGCAGCCTATTAGTAATTGGTAGAAATGCCCTCCTAAAAACCGCTCTCTCTCACTATCCCCTGGGACTTGGGTTTCAGATACAGCTTTTTAAAAGAGACAAGGGATAAAAGCTTTTCAGCCCAACTCCTGGCAGACCTCATTTTATTGCGCTTCAGTTTTATTGCTTTCTCAGATATTGCAGGGTTTTTTTTGTTTGTTTGTTTGTTTTTGTTTTTTTACAAATCGAAGGCAAGACCCTCCACCAGCAAAAGGATTGTGACTTGCTTTATTGTGACTCTCACTCTGCTGCAGTGGTCTGGAACCAAACCTGCAGTACCTGTGAAGTCTGCCTGTACTGTGTAGAGTGAAAATAAAACATCTAAATGCTTCTGGAAAGCTCACAGATAAATGGGTGTTAAGCACAAGAATATGATTAGGTTTCAGAGATTCATTGTCACAGGAAGCCATTGATCTCTCACTGTAAAATAAATACAGGCTCTAATTTCAAAGGTAATAATACATTATAGTACAATTAAAGAAAAAATGTCTATTTTTATGAAAGAATTCTGCAGCTAGGGAGTACAATTTCTCAATCTTCCTTCAAGAAAAGCATTTGCCATCAATCCTAATCCAGTAAGATCCATTTAAAATTGGAATCTTAAGACAAAACATAAATTACAATTTCCTTAGTGAAGTTGTATTTGTGCTCACAACTTCTGAATCAAGGGCTACGATTCAAGCACTTTAATTCATATCATCCTCCTCTTTGTTTATGAGCACAATCTGGAGCCTATAAAAAATTTTTTTTTCTGAGTTCTCGTGCTCGGTAAATAAAATAGAGAACTAATTGCGGGTTGATATGAAGTTGGCGGTTAAATAATTTGTAAAATGTGTTACAAATCCAGAATATAAGACTGTGAGGGTAATAAATGGAATCACTTTGGTGTGGCTATCTGTGACCTTGGAGTAGTGGTAGCAAATAGCCCCTCTCCAGTGGCTGAGTTTTACGCAGTTTAAAAACAGTCTCCTGAACTATTCCCTACAGAAGATAACTGTGATCCATGACATCAAATTCTCTTCCTTTATCTGAGAGCTCTATTTTTCTAAGCCAAAGATTTTTCAGATTGCAGAATGTTCTTCCCAGTATCATTTTGAAATTTCTGGCTGCCTTACTTGTTTACACATATTTTAGAACTGTTTAAATTTCTACTCATAATTTGCTCATCACACACAAAAATCCTTTAATATCATTGCCCAGTGTCTTGGGTCAAATTTATCTAGAGCGAGTACAGACCATTCTCAGTTATCCATGGTAAATTAGAGGCAGGAATGATACTAGTAATTAGAAACTCAGAATGCTACCCCCTTCCTAATTTGGCTAGTGGTTTCAGTGTCCTACTCTATGAAATACTCCAGAGCTGTGGACATGTAATTGCATAGAGATAAGTTTCCTCTTTGTTTCATCTTCATTATTTTTCTGCCCTGTTGCCTAGTGGGAGGGATTGCACAATGAGAGGGACCCTGAAAATAACAGTAATAATAAAAGGCAGCTAATGAAAAGGAGAAACAAGAGCATGGCTAGTATACACACTCAATGTTACCTCCAGTGATTCGAGAATTGCCTGTAAATTAGTCTAGTTAATAAATGGCATGGCACATTCCATTTTGTTCAAAACCTGTTTAGTACCATTACAGCTTTGGCTGCTGTTAAAGAACTCAGCTCTCAATTTTGATAAAGGTAATCTTAAATGCTGAGGCAATGCTCTCTTTCTCTCTCTCTCTTTCTCTGTCTCTCCCTTTTTTTCCTCTCTCTCTCAATCTATATATGATGAAATTAGGATGGTTAGATGGAAAAACATGTGTTTTAAAACTGACCACAGAACTTCATTACTTTCATGTTCTGACAACACCAAATTAACAAGAGTCAGTGTTCAAGATTTTGAATGGTGCTCTAGCCAACGCATTTTGATGCTCACACTGCTGGCTATGTGATCATAAATATCAGCTTTTCTCCAATGACCCGGCTTTGGTATCATGTCTAAGTTAAACCTGTTCACCTTCAGTTTGTACCATTGTTTGTGGTGGTTTCTACCACACAGAAGTTCTCATTTTACAAAAATAGGGTAAAATATGCCTGCAACATTCACATTGACAACAGAATAATAGAGAATGCTATAAAGGATTATAGCATATGTATTATTTCCTGTTTAAAATGTTATGATTTACAGTTCTTTGAAGATATTATAAAAGGTTAATTGTGTATTTATGTGCTTCGTAGTTTTCCCCTCATGTATCCAAGTAATTTTTATTTATGTACAACTGAATAAATGTTGTCCTGTTTAAAAGTGGTGAGTTTTTGTATAAAATCTCTAATTTCTTGGCCTTAAAAGGAAAACTCCCAAAGTGTAACTGATGATTGTCTGTTTGGTTCTGGCCCCTGGAAGTTTTTATTAGGTGTGGTCATAAAACCACCTGGAGAGAATCACCCAGGGTGTCCAAACTGCCAAGTCCAGCTATTAAATTTAAAATGCACACACCTCTTAATCTAAAGAATGCATTTATAAAATATTTTCCTACACATGGACAAAGACAGATGAACAGAATTTTTTTTATTATTATTTATTGTTTATTATATGAAAGATTGGAAGCATTTTTATTGTCCATCATTAGGGCACTGTTAAATAAAATATGGTACTTATGCAACTATTGTTTTAAAGATATATCCATATATAAAATAGGAAAATAATATCCAAGATAGATTGCCAAAAGAAAAAAGCAAGATAATGTACTCCTAACTGTACTTTGTTAACAACAAAGGGAAGTTATTCACAGGGCCTCTATATGTATGGAACATTTCTGGAAGGAGACACAAGAACACATGAATAGTGGTCGGCTCTGGTGAACTAAGTTTAGGTAGGTCTGACTTTTTTCCTTATGCACATAATGCTCTTTCAATTTAAAACTTATATCCAACCGAAACTGGTTTGGCTCAGTGGATAGTGTCAGCCTGCAGATTGAAAGGTTCCGGTTCAATTCCGGTCAAGGGCATATACTTTGGTTGCGGGCACATCCCCAGTAGGGGGTGTGCAGGAGGCAGTTGATCGATGATTCTCTCTCATCGATGTTTCTAACTCTCTATCCCTCTCTCTTTCTCTCTGTAAAAAATCAATAAAATATATATATATAAAAAACTTATACCCATTATTATTTTAAATGCAGATTCTTGAGGCTTCTTAAAACCTTGGGGCATGGGGCCAATAAACCTACCTTTTAAGTAAGCTTATCTGTCGATTCTTGTGTGCACTAAGATTGGAGATCCACAATCAACATATTTACAAGCAAAATATTCCAATCAATTTCAGATACTTGTCCTTACTCTCTCTCATCGATTATTTCCTTTTATACAACATCCTGGTCAATTACTATATTCAGAGCACTCAGAGTGTATAATATTTTTGTTCTACTACATCTTTCTGTTTCCATGGTGGTTTTGTAATCACCAAATGTAAATCGGGCTTCCATAAGAACAAGGTAGGCTGATGCCTGTGCCGGTCCTCTAGCCAGCGTGCAGAAGTAAGCTGCTGTTGCACAGAACTACAAGTGACAAAAATGATAATTAAGCTTCAAGGTTGCTTTTGCAGCCATGAGAATGAATAATGATATTCACTATGTTGTCTGTTGCAAGCATTCACATGAGAGTTTTGATTAGGTGGTGTGATAATGAGCAAGCAAATGATGAATCCAAACACATCTACTGATTTACCTGTTTGAAAGACAAAAGTAGAGATCTGAAGATATTAACTCAGCCTCATGTCTTCAGCTAAATCTTTACTTTGACAAGACACTGAATCATTAGAAATGTCTTAGTGATGTCTTCTGCTGATGCATTTAACAGTGTCAGCTGTGGGCCTGTCTGCCTTTCTGCAGCCAATCCAGTGCAGTCTCTGACCCTGCTGAGTACCTCAGTGCTTTTGCATTGCTGGTTCGAAAAGTTTTAATGATTTTTTTTTTTTTTTTGCATTTAATGAACTCATCACATCCACATTTAAAATATTTAATTCTTTTTTTTTTTTGTATATTCTGAATGATTGCTCCCAAAATGATGCCACACTTTCAGAGGCACCAAAAAGGTATAATTTTGACTTCATAAAGTCAAGGAAAAGATACCTTTTGAGTCATGTTTTGTTTCAGATTTATACGTTTAAGATTTCAATACCAACTTTTTCAGCATCTTTAGCTCAGATGGTGTAGTTATGGCTAAGAAAGCAAGATTTCTAATCTCCCTTTTAAAAGCTCATGATCCATCTTTAAATATAATGGTGTGGCTTATGTGACCTGGAGGTCTCCAATGTCAAAATGTTCAGAGAGCATTGAGGTGGGAGGAGAATGCTGATGATGAATTGCAAAGACTGAGAAGCAGCAGCATTTGTCGCCAAGGAGAGGGGAGCTGAGCCATGGCGGGAAAGCAGAGGCCCCTGGCAGTGCACTAAAGGTATTACAATGAAATGTGCGGACCAACAATCAGAAGCAGGGAGGGTTTGAGTGGCACTGAGAAGAGAGGACTGAGTCTGGTCAAGAACCAGCAAACTATATTCAATTCCTTTACTCATTCCTTTACTTAGATTTTTTTAAAGAGCATATGTGCATGTTGAGATGCTCCTTATTATTTAAATGAATTTAAGATACTTTATAGAAAAATGGGCACTAATTTAGTTCTTCAAAAGCTTGTAATATTCTGCCCAGCCAGTGTGGCTCAGAGGTTTAGCATCGACCTATGAACCAGGAGGTCACAGTTGGATTCTCTCACAGGGCACATGATTCTCTCTCATCACTGATGTTTTATTGATTTTATAGAGGAAGAGAGAGGGAGGGAGAGATAGAAACATTAATGCTGAGAGAGAATCCTGCCTCCTGCATGACCCATGCCCCCCTACTGGGTCGAAACCTGGGCAAATGCCCTAACTGGGAATCCATGCCTCCTGGTTTATATGTCAATGTTCAATCACTGAGCCACACCAATTGGGTTCTAGCTCTCCCTCTCCTTTCCTCTCTGAAATTAAAATAAATTATAAAAAAAGAAAAGAAAAATGCTTGGAATATTCTCTGGATGACTAAATTAGAATGGTCTTTTAAATTATGTCCTAGGCCCTCTCCAAATTTCAAATGTGACCTTGGACAAATCCCCTCACCTTTTAAGTCCCACTGGTCAAAAGTGGTGTTGGCTCGGAAATGAGATGGCTTTTGTAGTTGAGAACATAGAGATGGTAGCTATTGATCTGAATCTCAGCTTTACCACTTGTTGGTTATGACACCTTGGGAAAGTTAACTTGTCCTCTCAGAATAACTTAAGCTTTGCAGGCCGTACAGTCTATATCGTGATTCCCTCTATTATTGTATGAAACGATCTGTGACCATAAACATGAACTGTGGCCCAATAAAACTTTATATACAGAAATAGGCAGCTGGTCAAATCTGACCTATGCCATAGTTTATCACCATCTATAAGACAAAAATAATATCACTTACCTTCAAGGCTTTCTGTAAAAATTAAATTGATTACTACCTGTTTATTTCTTGGTACACAGTATACACTCAAAGGAAACTGCTATTATTTCTAAGGGTGTTCCAACTTAATCTTGATCATGGATCTGTGATCCTAACAGTTTCTGGATGGACAGATTTCCCAGCTGAAAACAACTTTTCTGAATGGAGAGCTGCGTTTGAGGGAATGTGATAAGCAGGAAACTGGGAGTCCTACTGTAGCTCCCAGCCTTAGGGGTCCCATGTCTCAAGGGCTAACTTGTAATACCCGTTGTGTAGATGATCTCACTTGAAAACAATAACAAGAAAACTAAGACAATAATTATACTTTGTAAAATGACAATGTTTTTAACTGCAGATGCACATTTTTCTTTACTGTGGTGGTACCTTGTCTATATGTTTTGCATCCAAAGACACACATTTCAAGTTGAAACCAACTGTTCAGAGTTGAAAAACCTAGATACTCTCTCATAATAACACAAACTGGAGATAAAGGTCGTTACTTTAAACTACACTGCACAAGAGTTTTTATGTTTACATTATTCTTCAGCATCTTGGAAGTGTATTTGGGGGAATAAATGAGGGCTGAGGACCACCAAGTAAAAGGGGCTTGGAAAACAATGACAAGAGGTGACTCGTGATTTGTCCCTACCCCTGCCCCAAATCATAGCCTCTCCCAAATTCATGGGCCTACTCGGTAAAATAAAATCTTTTGCATCCCATGTTTAATGCACATAATATGTCAAAAAAAGCAGTAATAGAAATTGGTATTAGGTAAAATATATTTATTTTTTTAGTTTATAAATTAAATATTCACATTTGTTTTTAATAAATTATTCTAACTTTAAAACATATAAAACATTTTTAAAAAATCAATATTTTAATAGTTACAATGGTAAGTGATAACAATAGAAACAATTTTTCACTGAAAAGATGAGAAAGAGCAAAATTATAAAATGCTGTGGGATTTCACTCTGAAGTGGTGTGACATAACAAAGCAGAGTTATCCATTCCCATGAAAGCTCTCAATAGAGGCAGAGAGGCAAAACATCGCCATATTTTCACTTGATGGACTGTCATGAGGATCTAACAAAGACAAAATGTTTCTACCACGGAGGATGCAGGATTTTAGGTCAATGATACTGTTCATGTTTTGGCAAAAATAATGATTGCCAGGTAATAAGGCACCCAAATTAAGGCAAATAATTATAATTTAATAGTCTAGTAATCTATATTTTAAAAACATTTAAAAATATATTTTATTGATTTTTTTACAGAGAGGGAAAGGGATAGTTAGAAACATTGATCAGCTGCCTCCCACACACTCCCTACTGATGTGCCCGCAACCAAGGTACATGCCATTGATCGGAATCGAACCTGGGGCCCTTTTGTCTGCAGGCTGACATTCTATCTATTGAGCCAAACCTGGTAGGGCTTAGTAATCTATGTTTTAAAGTTATTCTTCAACAATGATTAATACATTGATAACATTTTAATTATTTACCTTTAGCATCTATTTTTATATTACAGTATTTTATACAGATACTAAAAGTTTTCCAATGGTCATATGTGTGTTCTTAGTAATTCTTGTTGAATCTACATTATGCACATCAATAAGCTTTCAGAATCTGTTAGTTGATAAAACACAACCTGACATTTTTGAGCTGTTGACATTTTGCACCAATGCAACAAATGAGTTGTAATTTTATATTCATATAGTTATGTTGATATTCCAAATAGTGCATCCACACAAATGCTGTGCACACATGGTATTGACCTGTGTTCTGTCACTGAAAACCTGGCTGAGAGTGAAGTCTGGAATTTCAGGGAAAAATAGGCAGCAGGAGCTGTGCAGAAGCAGGTGTCCTCTGCCCGCCTGCCAGTCACCCTGCACCCGGTAGGACTGCTCACGAGCAGAGAACGAGGGCTGGGTCTCTTGCCAATTAAATCTTTGCTCTGTGCTTGGATAAATCCAGACATGACTTTGACAGGTTCCTCACCTGCAAGAGAGCAGTTGACATTTGATTTCACAGATGTCCCTGCAAATCTATGACCAAAGTGTTAAGGATGTATGTGAATGGGGGTTTAAATCTGATTTGATATTAACACATGTTTAAAAAGAAGGAAAAAAAAAAGCTTTAGCCAGTTTGCTCAGTGGATAGAGCATGGGCCTGCAGACCAAAGGGTCCTGGGTTCAATTCCAGTCAAGGGCACATATCTTGGTTGCAGACTCCTCCCCAGCCCGGGCTCTGCTCAGGGTGCATGCAGGAGACAACCAATTGAGGTGTTTCTCTCATATCAATGTTTCTTTCTGTCTTTCCCTTTCATTTCCACTCTTCCTAAATATCAGTGGAAAAATATCCTTGGGTGAAGATTTTTAAAAAAAGAAAAGAAAATACCTGTCACTAAGCCATGGCTATGGAACCATGCTAGCAGAATCTAGGAGGAGGATAGCCAACAGTTCACCTTTTCTGCACAATTGGGGAGGTCCCACTGCATCAGGGGAGACCCTCTGACATGGAGGGTATGGGGTAGCAAAGTGGAGGCTGCAGGAATGAAGAAATGAGGTTAGAAAGGTAATGGGAGGTTGAAAGCGACTTTGTAACCTGAAAGGAGTCATTAGTTTATCCACTGCTATGGGTTCATTGAAGGATTTAACCCTCACGAGAGCACAGGAAGAAAACTATTTTTAAATAACCCATCTCAGCAAGGTAGCATTTCCTCCCCTAAAACTGTAGTGTTTTTACTCCTCTGACAAGTTAAAAGAATACAAACCACAGGTTTTTACTCAGTCACCCACAGCTTGTGTTCTTAAAAATCACAGTTATGAGTGGTAACTGTCCACATCCTTTGGGAAACACATCCCTCTAGGAAATATTTATAGTCTATTTGGCAATGTGAAGTCCTGGGAGACTGAGCTCTAGACAAGATCTGTAAGGAGCATGCCTGGCCTGGTAGTCAGCCATACACCAGGGCTAGGGCAGGGGTTATCTATATGGCGAGATGATGCCCAGCATCACGGGCCCACAGGACCAGGTCCTGAATGCAAATCACAAGGAGCAGAGTTGGGAAGACAATGGCACTCATGGGAGTGCCTCCTAGGCCACTACTCCTCTGGGTGTGCATAAGGTAGATTCAACAGAAATCAATAAGAATACACACAGGCCGTGTGGCCCCCTCCTCCATGGATGGACTCAGATGACACACCATCACAAAGAATTCAAAAGCCTGGTTCCCTTTTCCGATGCTTAGATGAAATAGATATGTAATAAAAAAGAATCCACTGGTAGCCATTTATTGGGTGTGTGGTAGCTAAGGCATCAGGAAACCTCCGGTGTTAGGGATGGGGAAGATATCGCTGGTGGGCTTCCTGTCTTGCAGCTCTTGTGCAGCCTTGATTTGACCTTCACCTTCACCAGAAGGACTGTGGTTCAGGCAAGGCCCTGCAGAGTTGGGTTGCTGCATCTGTGAGTAAGTACTTTGTGTTTTTCAGATGACTTCTGGAACCAGCAATTCCTCCTAGTTTTCAATGAAAGGAAACAGAAGAGATTTGGACACAGCAGAAAAGATTTGGACACAGAAGAGATGTGGACACAGCAGCTATGCTTCAACGTCCCTATCATTGATTGCCTGCCCGGTTTTCTGAATTTCGCTTCTTCTTGCGGAGCTGCAACTTTTTGGTGAAGAACGTCTGTCTCCAACTCTGGTCATGGGCCAGAGCCTTCATGGCAGGGGTGATTTCATCGGCGGCCTCAACTATCGGCTCCCACAGTCTGTCAGACATACATAGCTGTGGGAGGAAAAAGTCAGAAGAGGGTCATGTCACATGTGGGTTTGGTGCAAGTCATACACTCACTCATGAGGTGACTACCCACATCCTGCTGCCTGTGAGACACGGGAGGAAACACTGTTTGTGCATGAAGAGCTGCCAGACACAGTTCCTGCCTCCACAAACTTCTATTTGAGGAAAGAGGCAAGTGCACAAAGATCTAAAGGACAAAGCAATATTTGATTAACTGAATAAATCCTGATGTTATTTAAGATGCAGAATGCAAGATAGTTCTATATAGTTCACATATAACATTACTTAGCTAATTTTTAATTAGCCACATAACAGAGGTTCATAATGGTATAGTCAACTGATCTGCCACCCAGCACTGCATTAGAATGAATAGGGAGCAGCTAATTCCTGCTAAATTTGCATCCTTTTTTTTTTTTTTTTTAATTTCAGAGAGGAAGAAAGAGGAAGAGAGAGAGATAGAAACATCAATGATGAGAGAGAATCACTGATTGGCTGCCTCCTGCATTTCCCCTACTGGGGTTTGAGCCCTCAACCAGGGATGTGCCCTGACCAGGAATCAAACTGTGACCTTCTGGTTCATAGGTCAGTGCTTCACCTCTAAGCCACGCTGGCCAGGCTGCATCTATTTTAAGCCCTTGCTCAAGCCTTCTCTCCCCTGGGCTTGCACAGCTCACAGGTCAGTCCCCTGCAGGTTACTTAGTGTTAAACTTCATCAAAATGACCAAGCAGCCCTCATAGATTGCCAGCAGGCACATGGAAAACCCACTCCTTCCTGCTACCACAATTTTTACTCCAAGTCCTCTGCACATATGTCATTGCCCATGCACCTGGCAAAGTGAGCCATTCTCTGGGAACAACTCTCTCTGAGATACTCTTCTGCAGCCTTGGGCTTTAACCAGGGGCAATAAGGTTAAAGACAGACAAGACCCCTCTGGTCCAATAGCTGCACAAGTCCATTTTTCCATTCTTCCAAATTCAAGTTGCCACAATTCAGCTTCCATTTATCCAATCTTTCCTAATAGCAGGACTTTTTCAGGTGGCACCATTAGTTACAGCAATACCTCTTATCGGTCTCCTGCTACTAAGACACTATTAATATGGAGGTTTCCTGACACCTTAGCTACCACACACCCAAATCCTTCCTGAAGGCAGGGCTCCCTTTATACTAACTCAGCAGCCCCAACCTGGGTGATAGCCATGGCTTTGTGGAACATGCAAGAATAGGAACCTTTAAAGGCCCTTGTACCTTTGGTATTGCAGAGCAGTAACTCGAGCAATACCAAGTGTGCTCTAAGGAGGATTCCAAATGGGCCTCAGCAACAGACACTTCCTGGCTCCATCCTTCCTGTACCAATAATGCACTCGGGCAGTTAATCACCATCCAGATTCCCCCTTATATTTTCTGTGCCCATAGCTTATGTATATATTTCATACAAGTTCTCTGATTGATCTCTTCCCCCCAACCTATCCCCACCTTCTGTTTCATGCTTCTGCTTCTGGATATATTTTGTTCAACAGTTTATTTTGTATATTAGATTCCACATATGAGTGAAATCATGTGATACTTGTCTTTCTCTGCCTGGCTTATTTCACTTAGCATAATACTGTCCAGGTCCCTCCATGCTGACTTAAGTTACACTCATTTCTGAGGAGAAAGCAGCCAGTGTTCTTAACTTTCAGATTTCATGCTACTGTATAAGTACTCTAATAAAAGAAAATAATGATTGACAAACAGAAATGAATAGCATAATAAAGCATAATCACTTAAGATTCTTTCTGCATAAATATCAGAGTAAAAACTGTTATATTCACATAATGTTAAACAGCAACACTGAATAATGGATAGTGACAGCCCACAAACATTTCAATGTTCGGCAGGTTGTGCATTTTCTTAACCCATCTTCAACAGTTATTCAAGGTCTAGTTTCTCAACTCAGATTACAACATATTCTAAATATATACAGCAAAGGAAAAAGTTAGAAAGTGTTAAAATATTAAAAACAAAACGGGTTTAAACTTTAATACTAGTAAAGATGACTATTCTGTTTCCAATTAACACATTTCATGGGAGAGAACTATGAGGTTTTGGGAGAAGAGAAAGAATTCTCAAGAGAGCTGAAATTTCCACTAGTGTAATTTCATTTGACTCATTTTATATTGAAAATATTTACAGTTTGTTTTGTATTATAAGTTGGTCATAAAATACCTCCATCTAAGACTACCAAACCCTGGGGCTTTTTTACTTGGTAAATGTCAGGTTACAAGACACAAGGTGTCCACCCTGACTATGGTTCCATTTACTTTGATTCCAAGTTAAGCAAACTGTGGGCTTAGCGCCCCCTAGTGGTGGTACATGATTTTAACATACTATAATATATAAACTATAATATAAACTTAATATCCTTAATAAAAAAAAATAATAAAAAAAATAAAAAAATAAAAAAAATTTGAAAGGAATCCTAGGACTTATCTCTTTAAAACCTCTCCTTTTAAAAATGGGGAAATTAAAGTTCAGATAGGATAAGGGTCCACTAAAGGCTCATGATGGGAAGTGGTTGAGCTAAGAACAGAACCTAGCTCTCAGGACCCCTGTGGACTTAAAACACACAGTACACAATAAAGACAGGAAAATCCCTCTCCCACCCCAACCTTCCAGCCTTTTAGAATCTCTTGAGATATTTTATCTGGACAATTTCCATATCGATGGGTTAAATTCTTGGACTGGATTCTCAGATTCGGGTTACTGTAAACACAAGAAAAGATGTTAAGAGCACAGATGCTGGGTCCACCTCAGCCCTAAGGAGTCTAGGCCTGACATCACCAGTTCCACTGCTGCCCCAGTGCTTCTTCCATGTGGCCAGACTTGGGAATCAAGGTCAAAGGACTGTTTCTCCATAGCCAAAATTGTTATAGCAGAGGTTTTTTTCCATAGTGTTCCTGAGTCATGATCAAGATGAACATGTTTATATACTAGTCATGACTGTCCCTCCCCCGTCTGTCCCTTGGCCTCCTCATCTAGCTGCAGGAGTTTCCTCAGGTCTACTCTGCAGCAGTTTGCAAAAACAGCAGAGTATCAATGCCCAGTGCCACCAGAGCCTGCCAGCAGGCCTTAGGCAGGTTCCTGGGCAGCATTAGCTTAGTGAGCTTACCACAATTCGCCTTTCTATTAGCCAGGCTCCCAGAAGAGTGGTTTGACCTGAGAAATATAAACAGCCAGCCCACCAGACCTACAGGAACTAGTCCATGGAGCTCTGTAACTTGGCCGACACTGTAGGATCAAGGACTGGCAGCTGGAAGGTCCTGATTGCTGGTGGCTTGAAGTTTGATAAGTGGAAACTTCCTATCTTGACCATGGGAGGGCACCACAGGCTCTCCCGGGCTAGGGCCCCCTTCTACCCCTGAATCCACACACTGTGTCTCCACATTTATGGTTATGCTTCCAAGACAGACCCATTGCTGCAGAGTCAGGTCTGGCCTAGAAACCTTTCTGTTTCATAAAGGTGACCTTGCAGCTCTCTTTTTCAACAAGATCCATTAAAACAGCACCTGACCACATCCCTGTCATCTGCCCCATCCTCTCTCAGCACCCCTCCTCTCTTCCCAACAGCCTCTCCAGCTTCATTTCTGCTCTAGCAGCACTGCCTTATTCTGTTCTTCACTCTTCAGGGACACAGCTCCCTCTGCCTAACTAGGCTGCTTCCCGTTCAGCCTGGCTAACCCCCACTGGTCAGGTAAATGTCCCTTCTTCAGGGAAGCTTCAAGTCAATTATGTCTCACAATACCCCACACCAGTCCCCTTGAGCACTCATCACAGTCGTCATTGTCCAGACAGTTCATTGTGTACTGCCTCTGTCCCTCATTCAGGTGTAAGCTCCTTGAATGCAGGGACCATGTCAATCTTGCCACCTCCAAGTCCCTAGCACCCAGCACAGTGCCTAGCCCACAGCAGGAACTCGGTGAGCACTTGCTGACTGCACATGTCCCTTAGTGGAAAATTTATGACACTAGCCCACCAACTGACTGACAGAATGCCTGAAAATCTCAATTCTACCCTTCACTGGCTGTAGGACCCTGGACAAGTTAATCTTGTTGAGTCTTAGCTTCCTTATCACTAAAATAAGAATGAAAAATAGGATCTATATCATATAGTTTTTTGAGAATGAAATGAAATAAAGAACTTAAGAGATCTGGCCAGTGTGGCTCAGTTGGTTGAGAATCATCGTAATCAGTGGTTAGATTCTAGGTCAGGGTACATGCCCAGGTTTCAGGCCCGATATGGGGCGTTCAGGAGATAGCCAATCAATTTTCTCTCATCATTGATGTTTCTATCTCTATCTCTCCCTTCCTCTCTCTGATATCAATGAAAACATATTTTTACAAAATTTTTAAAGTAAATATTTAACACATGCTTGCTGAAATAGAAGTGAAATAAAAAAATCACTGCAGTATTTTAAAAAACACAGAAAAAGAACTTTAACAAAGCACAAGAAAAATTCTCTATGGACACAAAATATTTGACCATTACCTTTGAAAATCTGTGTGATGTAAAAGAAAGGCAGGCAATATCGTCAATGTCCAGATAAGAAATGATAATCATGAGCAAATTGTCTGAGAGCCGCTCAAGGAAGTCAATTCTACCTTCACACAAATTGAAGACATAGTCCAATATTCTTGCACCAAATACCAAGGCTATTTGAACTGTAATTCAAAGAAAACAACAAACCAAGATGATTATCATGTGCAGTCACATAAAACTTGATCATTATCAGTAAGATGCAGGCTTTAGGGCACTTTTTCCCTGAGAGTGCCATTAGATTATGCTGAGTCATTCCTACTTCCACCAAGCTGCCTGTGGGCCCAGTGGGATGCATTTGGAGGCAATTGTTTTCCATTGCTACCCATGCCCGAGGTCAGAACTTTTTAGGGACACTCAGTGTGTAACACAGTGATGGACTGCATCGCCTTGATCTCATCAGCATAAATTGCAGTCCAGACATCTGACTTAATCAGTCTCAGCAACATCATCATCCCACCCTCACAACCTCCCGACTGGTTCATGTAGTTTTTCTGCCATCTCTTCTCTCCCCAGATGGGTCCAAAATATATATATATCTATCTCTTAATTTTGTTTAGTTATTATTCTTTTTGTTATATGTAGCTTTTCCAACAAAGTTTCTTCCTTCCTCTTTACCTTCTTTAAAAAAAAATAGTTTACTGATATTTAGAGAGAGAGGAAGAGAGAAGAAAGAAAAATCCATCGATGTGAGAGCACAGCATCGATAGGCTGCTTCCTACATGTCCCCTACTTGGGACCTAGCCTGCAACCCGGAAGGTGCCCTCATCAGAAATCGAACCAGTAACCTATTGGTGCCTGGGATGACGCTCACCCAATTGAGCCACACCAGCCAGGGCCCTCTTTACCTTCTTTTTACCTTTATCTTTACAGAGTAGGAAAAAAATAGAGGCAAAGAGAAAAATAGATGAATATTTCATGAAAATTGTGTTAACTTTTGCACAATATTTTTCATACTGTTTTTGTGATTTCCAAATTATGAAGTAGTTCACAAAGAATCAACTAATATCATCATCTACCTCACATGTTCAATATAAGGGGAAACCAAGTGTGTGTGTGTGTGTGTGTGTGTGTGTGTGTGTGTGTGTGTTTAACCCAAGCTCCCTGAATAACCAGAAAATAGCTAATAAGTAGGAAAACATGTTTGGAAGGATACACATTCAAATTTTAACAGTGGTTAAATCTGGAGGGAGACTTTTACTTTTTTGTTTGTCTATATTTTCTAATCTCTCTATTGACAAGTAAAAAATTCTGCAATGTCCTAAATTAAATTACAGCAGACCAGAGGGTGGTAGGAAGAGACAAGAGAAGTTAATCAATTAACAACTCACAGCAAAACCAACAAAAGACTGCTTCCATTCCTGGGTGTACGCTGAACTCTGAGCTAACTCCCAGGCGGCTGTTCCAGAGGCTCCCGAGAGCATAGCGGCCATCAGTGCCACAGCATCTTGCTCACGCATTGACTTTTCCAGACTGGTTACAAGTTGGTTGACTTTTCCGTAACCAACCTCCCGGGCTCTGCACCTGTCCCAGAACTTGCCTGCTTCAACTTCTCTCACCCCTTTATCTACAGCCAATGTAAATTCTCTCAAAACGACGTTCACCTTTCTTCCCCAAACTTAATATACGGTAGAAAAGAGCCAGTCAATTCCAAGATGGCAGACTTGTAATCCTCTCCATCTGGCTGTGGGTTAGGCTGCATGACCCAGGACATGGTCCTTTTTCTGGCTGGCATAAGGCTCAACAAACCCTTTCTTTTAGAAAAGCTTTCAGCTGTGAAGGCTTTTGTTTACCACTATAATAAACCCACATCACCAGTGTAATTTTTTTTTTTAAATCTAGAAAAAGAAGGGAGTGAGATGGGGAAGGAGGAATGAAGGGAGAAAAAATATATATAATTTCCAAAATAGTTGCTCTGTAGTCAGTTGGAGATTGGTTCACAGTTGCTCTGTAGTCAGTTGGAGATTGGTTCACAGTTTTCACAAAACTGAAAACTCAGCTTAAGTTTGCTTAACAACTAGGATTTTTCTTTTTCCCTTACACAGTTAGATTCTGAAGGTAGGCTGCACAGACTGCTTCCAGAGCTCTGTTAAGTTATTAATGTCCCGGGTCCTTTTATCTCTCTGTTTCACATTCTAAGATGTTGTTCTCATTCTTGGGGTCATGCTAAGATGGTTTCTGTACCAAGACATCAGCCAGGGTGCAGTAGGTAAAAGGGGCAGGGCAATGAACGGATATGTCCATGGAAGCTGGTCTGTCCCTGTTGGCAGGGCTCTTCTGGGGAGCTCTATGAAAGAACTTGAGCTCACATCTTACTGAGCAAAAGTAGGTCACACAGTCACACGTACAAGGTAGGGGCAAATGCCAACTCTGTCTTAAGGGGGGAAAATAGAATAAAGAAAAAGAAAAGAAAAGAAAAGAAAAGAAAAGAAAAGAAAAGAAAAGAAAAGAAAAGAAAAGAAAAGAAAAGAAAAGAAAAGAAAAGAAAAGAAAAGAAAAGAAAAGAAAATGAGAGCCAAACAAAAAAGCAAAGAAAAAGTATGATAAGATAAAAGAATAGCCCTAGCCAGTTTAGCTCAGTGGACAGAGCATCAGCCTGTGGACTGAAGAGTACTAGGTTTGATTCCAGTCAAGAGCACATGCCTAGATTGCGGTCTCAATCCCCAGTGGAGGGCATGCAGAAGGCAGTCCATTGAAGATTCGCTCCCATCATTGATATTTCTATCTTTCTATCCTTCTCCCTTCCTCTCTGTAATCAATAAACATATATATATATATATATATATATATATATATATATATATATATATATATATATATATATATTTAAATGAGCTGGAACTGGTTTGGCTCAGTGAATAGAGCGTCGGCCTGAGGACTGAAGGGTCCCACCCTCCACTCACAGACTGACCCCAGGTCTGCAGAAATTCTAAGAATCCAGGCTGAAGACAGGGAGTGGCTGATCAAAGGAGCAGTTAGAGGTGGTAGTTAGGCAGGAGAAAATGCAGGTCCAAGGCTGAGATGTAAGGCAGGAGAAAGGACCTAGAGAAAATGGATTAAGGATCCATACATGGGATCAGCCCAGGCTGAAAAGAAGGTAAGGACTATTCTTTCCCACTTTCTTTTTCTGCTCTACTTATACCCCTAGGATCTAGAACTCAGTGTTTCAGAATATTCATGTTTATTAGTATTATCTATTTTTCATTATAGTTCTCATTCCAAACATTCAGTTGTATTCTTCCCACAATTAGCTAAATGTCCAAGGGAATTAAAAAACTTTGACATCAAAATGATATCTCCCTGCCCTGACCGGTTTGGCTTAGTGGATAGTGTTGGCCTGCGGACTGAAGGGTCCCGGGTTCGATTCTGGCCAAGGGCATGTGTACCTTGGTTGCAGGCACAACCCCAGTAGGGGGGTTGCAAGAGGTGGATAATCGATGTTTCTAACTCTCTATCCCTCTCCCTTGCTCTCTGTAAAAATACAACAAATATATATACCCCACAGTTCCTTTCACATGCAATACCCAAAATAAGAAACCTTCATCATTTGGTTCAGCAAGTATAGTTGTCATTTGGTTTTATCACAAGGATTTTTGTGGATTACCCAAATACTTAACCACCACTTAGAATTCATTCAAAGCAACTGACTTTAAAATGAACAACCAACTTTAAAATGAATATAAGTTGGAAAACAACTTACTTTTAAGTTGGATTCAATCTTAACTCATAAATCAGCTCTTTTCAAATTGAGTTTATATTGGTACATTTTTACCTTAAACTAAATATTTTTTAAAGTTTCCAATAGCTGATTTCCTGATGGTCCTTATTTATTTAACTTGGGAGGAAAATCTATAGACATTTCCTCAGATTGTTAAAGGTCTCAGAAAGAAAAAAAAACTTCAAAATTCATAGACAAATGAAGAAAGAATACAAACAGGCAGACTACAGAAAGAATATAAATGGCAATTAAGCATGACAGGAGCTCAACTTACTCATTATCAGGATAATGCTAATTAGACAAGATATTGATTTCACTATTTGACTGGAAAGGATGAAAAAAGATAGAAATATCTAATTAGTGATGGCAAAGGCATAAGAAAATTGCTGTATCCTGGTGGATAGAGTATAATTAATACAGCAGCTTTGGAGAGCAATTTGTGAATATAGTGAAGTAACAGGTATCCTATATCATAAAGAGGTAATATGCAAATTGACTCTCACGCCCTCACAACACAAGATAGCCGCCCCACATTGTCACAAGATGGCCTGCAGGGGAGGGCAGTTGGGGGTGATTGGGTCAGCAGGGGAGCAGTTAGATGTCAATCATGCTATCAGGGGAGCAGTTAGGGGGCTATCAGACTGGCAGGCAGAGTGGTTAGGGGCAATCAGGCAGCCAGGCAGGCAAGTGATTAGGAGCCAGCAGTCCCAGATTGTGAGAGGGATGTCCCAGGTTGGAGAGGGTGCAGGCTGGGCTGAGGGACAGCCTCCCCCTCCCAGTGCACAATTTTCATGTATTGGGCCTCTAATTTTATATGTTTTTAATGATTAGTGGATATTTGGTCCTATCCAAAATGTCAGCAGACATTTGGTTCATAGTTAATATAAATACAGTTCTCCTGAAAGACTCAAATCCCAACCCACCTGCCTAATCCCACGGGCAATTACCAGCCAGGCTACCCAGGCAAGAGGGGTTATTATTGGCAACATAGCCACAACATAATTATTGGGCCAATGAAATATGATAGTATTTTTAAGGTATTAATCCCATAAACTAAAAAGTAAAAAAAAGCATTATGGGCTTTGTGAACCCAAGGACAGTTTCTAAGTGTGGACATTTTGGACAGGACTAAATGTCCTGCAAGGATTTTAAAATACTCAAAATTGAAATATTGTGACACCAATATATTAACAAAGTCTCATTTTATAACAAACATTGAAATAATGGCTGCTGTGCTAAGAACAAAATACTGTGGGGCAAGGGTGGAAAGAGTGAGAACAGATAGAAGGCTGGTACAATGATCTGGGAGAGAGGTTGTCCTCGATTGGACCAGAAGTGGAGATGGTTAGAAGCATTCATTTGTGTATTATCTATCGTAGTTATCAAAGTACTCCAAAGTTTACTGGCTTAACACAATAGACACTTATCACTTATCTCAGATTCTGGGGTTCAGGAATCTATAAGTGGATTAATTGGATGGTTCTGGTTTGGGGTTTGCCTCTCATTAGGTTACAGTCAAGGCATCATGGGTTGCATCATTTGATGCCTAAGGCTGGAAGACCCTCTTCTAAAAAAAAAACTCGTGCACATGGCTGTTGAGTGAAGGCCTCGATTCTTCACTGCATGGGCCTATCCTACAGAACTGTCACAGACATGAAGCTGGCTTCTACCAGAGCAAGAGATGAAAGGGAGGGAGAAAGGGAGAAAAGAGAGAAAAGGCCCATTTTTCATTTCATGATCTCATACGTGACATACCATCACTTCTGCCAAGTTCTATTGGTTGCACAGCTGACCTAGATACAGTGTGGGAGAGGATTACACAAAAGTGTGACTATTGGTTGGTAGGCATCATTGGGGGTCACCACAGTTTGGATTCTAGTTATATCGATGGATTCAATCTAGCATGTAAGAGAAGAATGGAATCAAGGGTAACTGTAGAATCTTTGGCTGACATTTTCTGGGAAGGGTGTAGGGGACCATCAGGAGCTATTTTTGGACATGTTATATTTGAGAGGCTACTACACATTTAAGTGAGATGTTGAGAAGGCAGCAGGATACATTTCTGAATATGGAGTTCTGGGAGAGGTACAGGCCAGAGATGAGGGGCTTGTCTGTTTATGGGTGTCATTTAAAGCCAGAGCTTTGATCCAATCTCTCAGGGAGTATAGACAGACAAGGAAAGAGACACAAGAACTGAACCTGGGCTCCAGCATTTAGAGTTGGAGAGATGAGGAGGACCAGCAAGGAGAGTGAGATGGGGCCAATGAAGCAGGAGGAGAATCACGAGAGATGCCCTGGAAGTCAGGGAAGAAAATGTCAGCTTGAGCTAAGTGCTACTGAGAAGCCAAGGAAGTAAGAGTGACACAGATCAGGTCCTTTGCCAATGATGCCACCAAGACTAACCCAGATTTCTAGACATGTCACCAATGTGTAGGATTTAAGCAGAATTACTTTGGATGAGAAACAATTTAGTGGGAGATCTTGGAACTATGACAAAAGATGGTGATGGAAACCTATATAATAAAGAGATGATATGCAAATTGACCCTCACACCCTCAACATTATTTTCTTAACAACAGCAGCAACCAATGATTACACACCATGCTGGATGGAGGAAGCACCCCTGATCCTGCTCTGTGCCACAGTTCACCCTTCCTTCTTCTGCACTGTGGTTCAGAGCAGGATCAAGGATGCTGCCTCCATCTGAGGAGTTCCCCAAGAACCAAGGGGAGGAGGGGGATAAACAGTAGTGTGGTTTGGAGGTCTCCCCTCCGCCGGGATGCCGTAGGTCTAAAAAGTGAGAGAGAAGCTTTTGAACTCACCAGGCCAATTTAGTTTGGTATCTCAGCCCCACTCCTGGAGAAAGGCCCCCAGGTAGCCCTGAAATGAGCCACGTTCCAAACTGCAGTTTTAAAAGCCAGTGTGGGTATACTCCTTGACTGAATCCCTCCACTTTCCTCTCCAGAAAGGAGGGTTTGTTTGTTTGTTTGTTTTGGGGGGTGTCAGGATTCAGTCTGGCCCTTAAATTCCCATTTTATTGCCCATTCCTTCAGAATCAGGAAACCCACAAGTGGTTATCCTGAACCTGGTGCCATCCTCCCCCAGGTAGGGGTGTTGGAGGTGCCCAGGGCAGACAAGAGGCCAGGTGAGGACTCTGCCTTTAAGCCTCCACTTAGAAGACAATCACCTCCAATCTGTCCCGCCCAACCCCCTTCTCTGGGTTTTGTGGAAGTCAGTCTGAAAATCACATGGTCTGCTGATGAATATTCAACACCACTAAACATCGAATTCTGGGTTAGGAACTACAGGGCTTAGAAAATAAAATGGATCTAAACTTGAAAAAGAAAAGTGTTTCCTAATTTATTTTGTAACCACATACCTCTATATTAAATAAGGAAGGATGGCCTGGACTGATTTTTAGTCATGAAACATGGGCAGTCTTTCCCCAACATGGTTCTTTTTAAGCTAATAATGAATTTTATAAATACTTGCTGAAAGAATCCAATGTTCTACTATATCTACTGTATTAAGTACATAATGACATCGATATTTCAAATGATGACTTTGATCCTTCTCTACCAAACTAATCACTAAAGGGAGCTTAACAGCAATAAGTGCATAGCATGCTCCCTTCCTTACTCTGAAGATGTGAATTCTCTAGGAAGTCTTCATGAGATTCTTTTACTTCTCCAGGTTTTGCTGATGATTGATACCCACTCCTTAGAGAAATCTTCCACCATCTAAAGATGACCTGTGATTGAATAGAAGGTGATCTGAATTAAAACTGATGTAAATACCAACAGCTATGGTCTGGTAATAATCACTCTGGTGGGCACAAAAGCCTGGTTCCAACATGAGCTATAACTTGGCAATATGGCATCATATGAAATGAGAAGTGAGATCTGTGCATCAGTGAACATTTTCCTAGTCATCAGGGTCACAGAGTCCAAGAGGGAATCTGAAAAATCTATCAAGTCAATCAATGTTAAAATCACCCAGAGCTAAATGATTGTTTCTTAAAGGTCTCTGAGAGCACAGATTCTCTAACCTGGGGAGCCAATTCCAAAGTCATTACTCCTCCCTCTGCCTCCCTTCCTGTATGCAGAACAGACCAGGTGAGGGAATACTATTCCCCTAGTGAGGGACAGTTACAGGAACAGGGCCAGGAAAGCACCACTATGCATTGTTTGATGCATGAAAGGGTCATTGCACAGGACATTTCTTGGTAATGGATCTGCTGATAGTCCATTTGACTTCTATAAGCATTTTGATTTATCTGAAGCAAACTTCATTTTTATGGTTATGGACTACACCGAAGCTCTATGTTGACTTCATGGCAGTGTCAACTACCAAGCTTATTGAGAAGCCCCTTGAACTTTTCCAACTTACCTCGCATTTTCCAACCTGTAATGGAAAAGGGTAGTTAATTAAGATGACAAAACTTCCATCAACTTGAGCAACAAGTCAAACTATTACTGCACTAGAGCTACCAGGGAAGATGATTCAGGAGACAATACAGATAAATTGCTTAGCTTCAGGCAAAACTGTTAAGCAGGTGAAAACTTGCTATAGGGCCTCTTTAAAAAAAAAAATTTTTTTTTTAAATCGATTTCAGCGAGGAAGGGAGGGGAGAGATATAGAGACATCAATGATGAGACTTAAACAACAGAAATTTATGTTCTCATAGTTCTGGAAGTTAGAAGTTCAACATCAAAGTGGTGGCAGGTTTGGTTTCTTCTCCTGAGGCCTCATTCCTTGGCTTGCAGATAGCCAACCACCCTCTTGCTGTGACTGGTTGCCTCCTGCATGTTCCCTACTGTGGATCAGCATGTGCCCTGGCTGGGAATCGAATTGTGAGCTTCTGGTTCATAGGTCAATGCTCAATCACTGAGTCACACCAGCCTTGGCATGGACTCTTTTTATTTACAGTTTCCTCTTCCCCATCCCCAGCACCCCTAGGGGTCCTCCCTGGGCCTTGGTGAACCCTCTTACGCCACCTTGATCTCTACTAGTTTTCTACCACTGTCCCCCAGGCTTTGAACTATCCCAACCTCTTACTTTCTCCTCATTCCCTTGCTTGTGGGCCCCAGGCTCTCTAGCTTTCCTCTCCTGGGGCTGTCTCCCTCTGCCCTATTACCTGGGCCCTTTTCCCTTCCTAGGCCCTCCCCTTCCCTGATGTCTGAATGATAACTGAACTCTCCTGAGGGTAGACACCTTTGATACCATCTCACCTAGTACCTTGCCTGATAGAAAGTAGGTCCTCAACAAATACTTACTGAATGAATTAAAGGGTGATTTTCATTTAGATTTAGTTCTAGTTACTAAAACGATGAAAAACATGTGTAAGTAACAAAACTCCATAATCTCACAAAATTGTGGTGGCTGATTCTTTTCAGAAAATCTCTTAGTCTGCCACTTTTGATTTTCCTGAGCAGAAACCTCAGAACAATTGCCCTCTTAAGCATCTTTCTGCCCCATCTCATAAAGGTGAGGGTGTAGCGGTCGATAGAACTGCCATTATATAATATCACAGAATGGGAGATTTAAACAACAGAAATTTATGTTCTCATAGTTCTGGAAGTTAGAAGTCCAACATCAAAGTGGTGGCAGATTTGGTTTCTTCTCCTGAGGCCTCTTTCTTTGGCTTGCAGATAGCCAACCACCCTTTTGCTGTGTCCTCCCAAGGCCTGCCCTCTGTGCATGCGCAAACCTGGTGTCCTTCTTATAAGGACACCATTCATATTGGATTAGAGCTCCACCTTAAGACTTCATTGAACCTTAATAATCTATTCAAAGGTTCTGTCCCCAAATACAGTTGCATTGGGGGTTAGGGCTTCAACCTAGAAATTTTTGGAGGACACAATTCACTTTATATTAGAGGGGTATCAAGTATTACAGTAGAAAGAACATGAATTTTGGAGTAAGAAAGGCCTCTCAAACTTATTTATTCTCTCTGCACTTTAATTTCCTTTTCATTCACTTTCTATTAAGCATCATTAAAATTAATATTAAATATTATAAATAACATTTCCTTTTTACTGATTGATGATGCCAGGCAACCTGAATCAAATGCTAAGTTCTTTTACCACATCATCTAGAATTTTTAGAACTAATTGGGAAGTCAAATAATTTATTCCTTCTGCAACACACAGAGATGAGCAAAAAGTTTCAGAAGTGAAGTTAGAAATGATAGGTCTTCTTCCCCACAACATTACTCCCAGGTGTTATGTTACAATGAAAGCAAGTCTGGGAGTTGAATTCTGCCATAGGAAAGATATTATATTTATCACCAGGCAGGCACCATTAGAGTCCAAAACATGTTTCCGGAAGCTCGTTGTCTTATTTTGCACTCTGTGGGAACCTTCCCAGGAAAGTTTCTCTCTGGGGCAAGTGCACCTATATTATCCTATCTAATAAAGAGGGAATATGCTAATTGACAATCACTCCATCACAAAGATGGCTGCACCTACAGTTGAGACCAAGTTCCCATAAGGAGCCATAACGAACAATTAGCAGGGACCCAAGGCTATGCTCTTCCCTGCCCCCATAGGGCTTGACAGGGGACCTCAGGTTGCGCCCCCCTCCCTGGAATGAGGCTGGGGACCTCAGGTTGCATACCCCCTCACCCCCCAGTGCCAGGCCAGGGGACCTGAGGCCACACCCCCTGCCTGGCAGTGCGCTTCCTATCCTGGTACTGGGCTAGGGGACCTCAGGCAGAGCCCCCGCCCCAGCACCAGGCCAGGAGACCTAAGGATGCACCCCCCTACCCGGCAAGGCTTGACAAGGGTGGGACTGGCCAGGTCTGGATCTAGCCCAATATGGGAAGGAAAGGAGGGTCTGGTCTTAAGCAATTTTGAGGTGCATGTGAATGGGCAGGGATTTGACTCTGGGTCCTGTGGTGTACCCCAGACTCTGACAGGAGGAAGGTTTTCATATACAGTTTACTAATTTTCTTTCATTACCGACACTTCTATTACAGAGAAAGAGCAAATAGCAATATTAAATCATTTCCTCTAATTAATCCCCTTTTAATGTGTACAAATTTTGTTCACCGGGAAACTAAGTAATAACATAACCCTACTAGCCAGATCAAGCAACTAAATGCCTGATTAAGTGGAGGAGTAGGGAACAAATGGAGTTTTAGAGCGCTACTCCAGAACCATTAAGTTATCAAACTCACTTATGTTGCTCAAAAAAAAGGAATTCTTACTTGTATAATTTTACTTGTCAGCTTCATATCTCACACCCATTCATCTCATCATTGAAAAATTATTTCTGACAGTCCTTATACTAATTAATTTCCTCTGGTACTGTTTTACTTAGAAGGCCTTATCTGAAGTGCCCACATTATGGCCTCTGGAGGTTGAATCCCGAAGCACAGATTCAAGCTGATTTACCCACATAGATAAGCATCCTGCTGGCTCCTCTGAGGTATTTAAGGTAAACTGCGCGAATACAGAACTAGCCTGAGGAAACTTGACTGGCTAGAACCAGAATCCAAGCCTCTCACTGATGATTCACAAATGCAGAGTCTGTTCTGAGGCAAGAAGCTTTCTTTGTATATAACCTTCATACTCGTAACTCTAGAGCAGGCCACAGAAACCTCATATTCAGGATCACAACTTAGCCTTGTCAAGACTTGATTACCTTCCCCATACTGTATTTACTTATCAGAACAATGTAGGAGACAGGAGTTTCCTACCACTTATTGTTTAAGATTGGTAAAGATTTTTTTTTTTAAGTGGCAAAACTCATTATTGGTGAAGAAAATGAAAATGGGGGCCCTTAATAGTTTCTGAGAGGAATGTGAGTTCATTTGGCAAATCAAAAATTTAAGGTCATCCATGCCCTTTGACCCAGTCTACTTGTAAGACTTTATCCTAAGGAATTTATCAGAGATGTGTACAATGTTTTTACGTAAGAATGTTTGTCATAGGTTAATTATGGTAATGACAAATCAGAACCAAACTAAAAGTCCAATAGTTGGGACTAATTAAGTAATTATAGCACATTTAGATGCTGGAATACTCTGCACCCAACAAAATAATTTGTAAAAAATAAAATAAAATAACATAGAATAACATGAGTAATCATTTGCTTAAAAACTCAAAAATACACACACCACTAATCAAAAGGTAAGAAGAGAAATGTTTAAATATGCAGGGAGAAGGGGCATCAGCTTGGCAAACCATGCTACTGTCTCACAGGATATGTACTCTGAAGGAAGTTTAGTTCAGATGTATCTTCCAAATATTTGTCAATTGAGTGCTATTATGGTATTAGCTTATTTTAATTCATATATATGTATACTAGAGGCCCAGTGCATGAAATTCATGCACGTGAGGGTGGGGGAGATGGTCCCTCAACCTGGCCTGCACCCTCTCCAATCTGGCACCTCTTGGGGGATCAGGCCTAAACCTGATGGCTCCTAATGGCTCAACTGCCTGCCTGCCTGATTGTCCCTAAAAGCTTCTGCCTGACAGCCTGATTGCCTCCTAACTACTCCCCTGCCAGCCTGATTGACACCTAACTGCTCCCCTGCTAGCCTGCTCACTCCCAACAGCCCCCTCCCCTGGGGGCTGGCCTGATCACTCCCAATGGCCCCTCTCCCCCCAGGCTGATCACCCACAACTGCCATCCCATCCTGGCCTGATCACCCACAACTGCCCTCTCCTCTTGGCCCCTAACTGCCACTGCCTCAGCCCCATCACATGGCTTTGTCCAAAAGAATGTCCGGAAGGTTTTCTGGAA